ATAAATTATAAAACTTAATAAATTAAATTAATATTAATTAAATTAAGTATATATAAATTAAATAATTAATTATAAAGTATATTTTTAATATTAATAATAATATAATTAATTAAAGCTTAAAAAAATAATAAAGTATAATATTATTTTTATATAAATTAAAATTAATAAATTAAATATAAGCTATAAAGGAAATAATATAATTAAAATATTTATTTTTAAAGTTAAATATTTATAAAAAATAAATAATAGTTATTATTATTTATAAAAATAATTAAAAAGTTATAATTATAATAAAAAACTTTTAATTTTATAATAAAATAAAGTATATTTTTATTTAATAAACTTTTTATAAAAAAGCTTTTTAAAAAGGAAATATTAAATTTTAATAGATTTATATATTTAAATAAATAATTAATAATTTAATTAAGCTATTTTTAAAGGATAAATTTATTACCTTTTAAAATATATTAAATCTTTAATTATAAAGTAAATAGAAAAATTATTAAATTTTATTCTTTATTAATTAAAAACTTTATAATAAATTAAAACTTTAATTATATATATTAAAAAAAGTTAAAATAAAATAAATTTAAAAATAAATATCTTTAACTTTAGTTTAATAAAATATATACCTCCTTTAAGATTTATATAATTTATTTTAATAGAACTTTTATTTTTTAAAATATTTTATTAATTAATATTTAATTAATTTATACTTTAAATATTAATATTATTAAGCTTTTTATTTATTTATAAATTAATTAATATTAAAAATAATAAAAAATAATTAATATTATTATTTATAAAGTAATTAAATAAATTACTTTATAAAAAAATACTTTAAAAAGGTAAAATAATTAATATTAAAGCCTTTATTTTAAAAAAAATATATAAAAATAAAAATTATAAAAAAAATATATTTAATAATTTTATTTATATATTTAAATATATTAAAATCTTTAAAAATATTAATAATATAATTATAAAAGTTATTAAAGTTATTTTAATTATAATTATAATTATTAAGTTTATTTAAATTATTAAATTTACTTTTATTTAAATTATTTAAATCTTTAATAAATTTTAAAGATTTATTATTAAATTTAAAAATATTTAAAATAAATATTAAAGTATTTTTATAATAGTTTTAATTATAAAAAAAATTACCTTTAATATTAAACTACTTTAAACTTTATTAAAGGTAAAAAAAATTATTATATATTTATTTATAAATTATTTCCTTTTATAATAAATAAAATTAAATAAATTAATTTAATTATATATTAAATATAAATAATAGAAATATTTTTAAATATTTTATAAAAATATTAAATATTAATAAAAATAATTTTAAAATTATAATATTTAATATTTTAAATAAACTTATTATAAAAAACTAATAAATAAATAAATAATAATATATTTTTTTTATTATTATTATTAAATTAAAAAAAATAAAAGAAAAATATATTATAATTTAAAATTATAATTTATTATTTATTTTATTTAAATTAAAATAATAAAAAAGAATACTTTTTAAAAAATAATAAATATTTATTAAATATTTTAAAATTAAATAAAAAATAATTATAATAAAAGTTTAATATAATATAAATTTAAATAAAAAAGGTAAAGATAAATATCTTTTAAAAATATTATTAAAACTATTTAAATAAATTAAATTTAAAAACCTACCTTATTAAAGAAAAAAAGATATATACTTTAAAAACTATATATAATTTTATATATAATAAAGAATAATTATAAAATAAGGTTTATAATAACTTTAAAAATATATATAATTTAAATAGGAATATTAAAATTAAAAAAGTAAGGATAGATAATCCTAATAGTTAATACTTCGACCTATATATATTCTACTATATAAATAGATATATTACCCTAACCTATGGTACCTAGACTTAGTTCCTTAATACAATATACAGTATGATTCCTCATCTACAGTACTACTCACACTGTACTATTTCAACTGTCGAATGCAAGGAAAATGGAAGAGCTGGTCGCTAACACTAAAAAGTCTAGACAGTTAGTAACCACAAACTCGGGAACCATCAGTAATCGCCCATAGGAATCCACTTTAGGCATACACAAAATGTAGCGCATAGCTGAAATGATGTTGCCTAAACAGTAGTTTCACGGGCGCAAATCCTGTAAATTGTAATTACCGCAATTAGTATATAGAGAATACAGTAGAGAGCGCCATAGCCATCTCAACGGTTGGAATGATCGGCTATCGTTTAGATTACCTGCTTACCAAAAAAAAAAAAAAAAACACCACGACCATTACTAACAGCGTTCTCATATCCTTGGCCAGTTCATGATACCTTATTTGCAAATCAAATACGAGGTGGTAAGGGTGCTATGTTGTAGATTGTACGTCTAGATCCTCTATCAACTGATATTGTGCTTGTGCATGTTCCCCTGCCAATTGAGCTGCATCGTTCCCCTCAAACCCATAGTTCCATAGGCGACTTGGTTCAAAGGTGTCTCCCCTTCGCCCATTATGACTGCTTTGCCCACCAACGTGCTGCATAACTACCGGAGTCAGTGCCCACCGAAGAGCACCCGTCATATCTGCGTATTCTTCGATGAAACTGTCCGTTGATATCATCGACCATCTGTTTTTCTGAAACCACGGTAGCAGATCTTGCGTTACAGTTGACCTGGGAAACACAAGCCCCTGACCGCAACACGCATACTTGTCCATGGCGTGGACTCCAGTAGGTTGCGGCAACATGAAGTTGCGTCCACCGACAAAGAAAAGAATGATGAGGAGCGGTGTGAAGACGAACGTGATAAGTAAGAGAACCGTCTGAGTTAGCCATACGCGCGCCACATAGCGTCGTGCCATTACTAGAGCGCTGAATACAATCGTCGCGACCGCAAGCGATGACGCAAGGTATGTTGGCCATGATTCCGAGTTCCAGCCTAAAAGGCCTTCATAATAAAATAGACGGAGATATAGAACTTCGCGAGTTGACTTAGTTAGTAAACTCAATTTTAATTGTAGAAAATTCATGCAGATGCGCCAAGAGATAAACTCACAATGTGCTTGTCCTACTTCCCAAGACTTGGCCGTCGCAGTTTTCAAAGCTGCTATCGTCCGATGTCGCCAGCCGTCCAAAAATACCACATCGTCTTCAATCATCAAGATGTAAGGTGCTTCCGTCTTCGCGCATTCCTCCATCACAATCGAATAGTCAAACTTTGATTTGACTGCATGATTTTGGGTCTCCATCTTTTCAGCCAGTCTCAGTCGATTTTCATCGTCCTGATACGAGACAATTTCGTCAGCCATGCCAGTGAGCCACGGCTGGCCATAATCGGGATGATCCGTCTGATTTATATGCGCAAGAAGAACAACAAATCGCAAGCTCATTCGTTCATCGAAGCTCAGCCCCTGTTGCAGTGACCCGAGGGCCAACTTAAGGTAAGAAACACCCTCTCTTCGCACCGACGGGATACCGATACACAAGTCTGGGGAATTATGGCTATTGACTCGAAGCTTAGCCCCCGTTAATGACGAAGCAAGTTTCGCATGTTGAACAGCTTGCTGCATTCGATACGCCGAGTAGGTCGGAACGTGTGCGCGTGTCGGTTGAAAAAACATCGAAGTAGGGTCTTTCCAGCTTAGTGATCGTAGAACTGCTATAAGTATAAGATACTTGTACGTCAAGTTAGCATATGGTGATGTTTTGAGGCAATGAGCTTCGTTTGGGAAGAATGCAGTTCTATTCAGGGGCCATGCAGGGTCATTTGGAGTACTGGCTGGACTCACAATGGTGAAGAATCCTAACAGAAAGCCTTTGATTAAGTGCATGGTGTCTAATATAGACGGCTATTGGTATTGAGAGACTTTAGGATGTACAACGAAATAAAATAAGTCAGACTCATGACAAGCAATGTTTCGACATGCTGCACTATAACACACACTCCAAGTATCTTGAAGTTTTGATCAAAAGATGGAGGAGGAGAAAATAGTTAGCATAATACGATTCTAGTACCTGAACTATGAATATTTGAGTTCCTGTCGATCATTAACCCAGGCAGTGGACATCATTCCACCATTCCTGCTATAGCCGATCTATGCGGTTGTTGGTATAATCCTTCAAGCTGCTTTATGTTCGGTTTCAAGATAATCGAACATCACTGGTTGAGCGGCAATCCCGCAAAACTAGCATCTAGGGTTATGACGCTAGGTACGCGGATTTTCTTAGTGTTAATGTGGCAGTACAAGTATTGTTGGTGCCTAACGCGGACTGTGCCCACCAACCGGGGTTGATGGTAGATCGGCTGACGACAGCCCCAACATCGCGATCTCAATGCGGGTACCTGTGCCTCGCCTCGTATATACACTGATGACAGAGACTCAGCGCACACCAGATGGAAGTCCTCTAAGTCCTATAAGTGGTTATAAATGTTGAGTGGTTCTACTACGAATAGCTCAAATTTGATTCATACGCCAGTTATAAACCTCGGGCAAGGAGAGATGGAGTGATTAAGGGATATTAGCTGTATGTTCTACGCATTTCCCAAGGTAAGATTGATATAGGCATTGTGCAGGGTCTCTATACGATCACGCCATTTCTGCAATACGAAGTGCCTATTGTGGAAAAGACTTGACTTATTATTGACGAAGAAGAACAGCAAACACGATAACACTGTTCCGGAAAGTGGTATTTACAGCTGAGACTTGCATGACCTTGCCGAATTGTCTTTATAATCATATATACCTGAGTAGCTTATTTCTAAAGTAACTACTCTTGACGCTACTTCGGTCAACCTTTCATCCTTAAAGTGAACTACTTTGAGGCAGGGTGCAATATTCAGACTATAGGAAAAATACGAATTCAACCTTGATGAAGTGGCAATTACCGGGAATGTGAGCCCGATAGGGCAATTGAGCTCTTACCACAGAAAGGATATAACAATGTAGCTGCTTTAACAAGTCAGAAGTAGCTAAATGCATTAATTTTTAAGCAAGTGTCGTGTCGTATATGCAAGAGGTTCGTGAATTAGACGAATCATATTTCCGAGAGCCTAAGAATCCTTGCCCAGCCCCATTCTCACCATCGAGGAACTCGAGCTTAGTAGCTAGAAGGGCGGTAATCCATGAGCCAGTAGATACATGCCATTGATGCATGATATATCCGAAATATTACTGCAAAGATCTTCGCCTAGATCTTAATTTTAAGAGGGCTCGCCAGTGCAATCTTAGAAGTAACATCATTCTAGTAGATTGCGGTAGTATCTTCTGATAATTAAATACAGCAACGGTCAAGTTTGGTCTCTTCCCTTAACGGATTTTGGAGAGAACAGGAACTACTATTCCTACATGCTTGGCAAGTGCTCTATAGCCTATCCGAGGCATGGAGAGCGGGGACGACTATCAATGGCTACCGAACTACCTATGCTGATGTGAAGGAAAGACGCGCTGTGAAAGTTCAATTCAGAGAGTCAGTTGGGCCAACCTAGGAAGAGCTGGGAAGTATTCTTCGTTATAAGTTGGCGGGCAAATTACTACCTGTGATTGAAAGCGCAAACAGTCGAATCTGCACACTCGCCCGATTTCTCAGCTAACAAAAGAACCATCCACTTTAGCGTTATAGAAATCAATGAACATAGATAATCGAATTCTTTATCCTTGCTTTCACTTCCCTTCAATTCTATCACATACGCTGATATTGAGTATACATTTAGGAGTAATGTTCGCAAACTATATAGTTGCCGGTGATTTTCTGACAAGTAATATTCAATGGGAATGGACTAACCATCTTGTTTTGCCTAATATCTTTAACCTTAGAAAGTTACTTTATTACATAGCTATATAGATAGTGAATTTAGCTAGGAAACTGGCCAGTGAGTGTTCATGTTCGTCGGTCCAGTGAGTGGGTTGAGGTAGGTAGTCGAAGGAACTAGCTAGCCTTTCATCCTATATATAGCCAAGCATCAGCTAATATTACGTCAGATATAGCAATTTTCTTACAAGGATCGAATTGGTGGGCGGCGGCCGGCAGGGAAAGCTTGAATTGGAAATCGGTACTTGTTCGCTTACACATCTACGATGCTATACTACATGCGGTAAATGGAGGGTGCCACAATTCAAGACCCCTGACGCCGCGCGATCATGTAAATCGTGAGACGCTGGATTCCACGACGCGCGGCTAGTGTACTGGAGATCAATTGGTGCTCGCGAGGCTGCTCGCTAGAATTTCGAATCCGGCACGCTATGCCGACTTTCAATGGGACTACTCGGAACGCGCACAGCTTCGCAGGTCCAGCCCGCATAGCGGCCTTTGAATCGGGGTTGCAGCTATGCGGCTCCTGCATTGTGAGACTCTAACGTTCGAGGACTTTGTTCAAGATATTCCTCCCTATGCCATCTTGTCGCACACATGGGGGGACCAGGAGGTGTCGCTTGGCGACATGGACAACAGGGACGCGGCCTCCCAGCTCGACGGCTATGAGAAGATTGCCGCGACATGTAGAATTGCGCGGGAGCAGGGCCTTGACTACGCATGGGTAGACACGTGCTGCATCGACAAGTCGAGCAGTGCCGAGCTGTCGGAAGCCATCAATTCCATGTTCGCGTGGTATCGGAATGCCACCACCTGCTACGCCTGGCTATCCGACTACGCGCAGGACGCGGCCTTCAACCTCACGGAGGAGGTCGTCCTCGCGTCGTTCGAGTCTCGCGAGGCCGCCACTGAGCAAGATAGGGCGTTTAGCGACCCACCACCCCTGACATCGAAGGAATTGGACATGCGCAACCACATCGGGCAGACTCTGGGGAAGTGTAGATGGTTTTCTAGGGGTTGGACACTGCAAGAGCTCATCGCGCCGAAACACGTGGAGTTCTACGACCGCGACTGGAAATGTTTCGGGTCCAAGGCGCAACTGGCGCCCATCCTGTCCTGGATAACAGGCGTTGACACAGGCGTGCTGAAAGGCGGCTCGCTAGACCAAGTCCTCGTAGGGCGGCGAATGTCGTGGGCCGCGAACCGACAGACACGGCGTATCGAAGATATGGCCTATTGTCTACTGGGTATCTTTGACATCAACATGCCGCTCCTCTACGGCGAGGGCGAGAAGGCATTCACACGGCTTCAGGAGGAGATCATCCGATCAAGCAACGACCTGTCTATTTTCGCGTGGACCGCGGCCCTGAAAGACAAGCGCGCATTCCGGAGTTTATGGGCCAGTTCGCCGAACGAGTTCAAGTCGTGCCAATTCCTCGTCAAGCCGGCGCTAGAGTGGAACGGACGGGGCGAGTATAGCATTACAAGTCGCGGGTTGCGCACTACGGACATGATCCGGACGGTGCGCGGCAACGCCTCGCGAAAGGGGAGTTACTTCCTCCCGTTGGACTGCGTCGACGCGCGGCAGAAGAAGGACATCCGCTTCGTCTCGCTCGAGCAGTACGGCCCCAGCCTGTTCGCGCGCCGCAAGCCATGGCTCTACGACACCGTGGTGGACATCGACGTGTCGCAGGCCTCGCGGCTACCGCAGGCGCAGTACATCTGCTGTCGCGAGAGTCCTGACTTCGAAGCCATGGTGCGAACGAGCCGCGTAGGATCCGTGCAGATCGACTTCTCGCTCGAGGTCTTCGATGAGACGAGCGTCACGGCGCAGCCGGAGACGGACTGGGACCTGCGTAACTCGATCTTACTGAGCTACCGCCGGCGACACTTCTGGGGGTGCTGGCGGATAAGGACCGTGTCAGACGACCCGGGCGTGTGCGTCGTTTGCGTGCAATCCGACGGGTGGCTGCTTTATGGAATCTTCTCTTGGGAGAATCTGCCCCCCGCCATGGACCAAAGTGATCTGCTTCCGTCACAGGTTGCCGACATGCTGCAGGAACTGCCGGTGAGGACCTCGGTGCGCTGTCATCCCTGGTGCCACACCGTGGAGTTAAGCGAGCACGAAATTGACGACTCTGGTGACGGTATCACCGGCACATTGCTACGGATCAAGAGCCGAAAAGCCACCTCCATGGACGACGGCCGGACAACGGTGAAAACACGGCTACAGCGACTATTTAAAAAGAAAACTTGGCCATGAAAACCCCAAATCTAACAACTCAACGGAAGGGATCGGATCGATCTCAGACGGCTGTGAACTAATATCGTTAAATCAGTGAAGGCTTCCAAACTGAAACTATTGTAATTTCTACGTATAGCGAGGGTCGGACCGGCAAATTTGGGACATACACCCACATCTCTGAATCAAACACATTGAATGTATATAGCTTCGCGTGAGCCTAACACTCAGCAAGTCCAAAAAAGCGGCGACGAAAACGGTGGAGGTCGAGTCATTGACAATGAAGTGGACTATCTGTATTATTAAATGGTGGTCGAGCATGCCGCCTTGGATAAAATAGTTGTAATATTAAATCATAGTACGAACTACGGTGGAGAAGTTAAACAGTTTAGTTATGAGACAATCAGGGATTTGATATTGGAACATACTTAAGTCTTTGTCTTACCGCCCGATGTGAGCAGAGCGCGATCAACTAGTGTCTATAACACTCACGACGCGTGGGTAATTCTACAAGAGGCTCACTTCGAAATCTAGTAATAGGGCGCAGATCTACCGCGTAGGCATTGTGTGCGTTGATGATTTTTATTTCAACAGCTATAAACACCTCAACTACATACATGGTAAACATCACGGCTAGCAACGCATTCATCACATTTACCGAAATCAAGATTTTCTGCTTAAAATTACGAACCCCCGGGACCACCAAGTAGTGCAAACCTTCGCACGATACTGGGCCCGTATTCTTGGTACTAGAAGAAAGATTGGTCAGCCATCTGCAGGTGGGCGCGGTGTATATATGGCGAAATCATTAAATGCATGAATGAATGAATGAATGATTGTTGGTACTCACCTCAGCCTTAGTATGACAATACGACCTGAATTCAGGAGTCTGGCCCAACAAGCTTCCTCCGAACCACGGGCCGTGTCGTTGCCGCTTATGTGAAATAACTTGCACCTCCAATCCGCCACTCCTTGCACCGCCACTGCGAACTTCGCTAGCACGAATGCGTGCATCTACCAAGTGCTTGATGTCTCGCTGTAACCTTCGACCAAAATCCTTGTATAAGGTGCTACCTCCGGAAAGCACAATGTTTTTGTAAAGTCCACGTCGTACATCGATCGGACTCGATTGAATGACACCATCGACAACAACGGGTAGGGGTGTCAGGAAGTCGGATGAGTAGATTTCGGGGTTGAAGAAGATTTCAGGGGCCAAGAATCGCTCATAGCCCACATCCACGCTGACTTGGCGGCCGCTAGGTTGAGACACGACATGCTTAAGAAACCGACTACGATCACGGTCGAAACGAGAAAACTCCTTCACAATGTCGGGACAGACGTAGCAGTGTTCTTCTTTAATCTCCTGTGCCGTCTTCAAAGAGCTATCGGGCTCGCCTCGGTCTCGAAGTAGAGATTGCACGAAGTACGTGATGTCTCGACCGGCAATGGGGATAGACTTGATGGAAGAGCCAATGACGTAGCCCTCGGCGACAGGGATGACGTGGGTGACACCGTCGCCCGAATCAATAACAGTACCGGTCAACGATCGATCAGTCACCTTAGTCGATGTCCAGGAGGCAGCGAGGGCGAGGACGGCCTGAACGGCGATGTAGAGACCAGCACAATTGAAAGACTCGAAAAAGATCTCAGCCGTATTCTCGCGGTTCTCAGGGGGGTTAAGAGGCTAGTTATAATCAGTAACATTATTCGTGCGGTCGGTGTCATAGCCCGGGTTGGTGAGCGGCGTGCGGTCTAAGGTCTGCGTACCGGTTCGGTGAGGAGGAAATAATGGTCTTCAGGTTCGACCCGAAGATACTTAAAGATGGAGTTTGACCAGAATCTTTCCATGTGGTCCTACATGTACATGACATGTCAGCAATCGTCCAGAAAGCGAAGAAGCTATATCCGGCAACACGCATACCCAATTTTCGATCTGTCCATGGCGAATAGGATAATGCAGACCGTAACCTATGCGCACGTGTCAACTCTGCGAGCCCCTAAATACACCGCACGAGGGGCGTGAGAATATCTAGAGCTATACCTGGACCATTCGAAGCGCCTATTGCCTCGTCGCCGATAAAGAAATCCAGATCTTCCGTGCCGCGCTTCATAGATAGATGACCAGTGGGACCAGCACCGCCCGTAAGAAATGATGGCTTATTCGCAACGGCTGGGCGGCCAGAGCCAGTTCCGCCGCTACCCGCAGCGGGACCCTTGGTAGCAATAGCCGTAGGGAAGACGAAAGAGGGGGAATCGTTGCCGGCGAAACCTGTAAATCGGCACAAAAGGAATGCTACGTTAGCCTATAGCCAGGAAAGGATCGAGCGGAGGTGGACAGTGGCGTGCGCGCAAGTCGATAGCATCGGGAGAGCCAAGGTAGAGGAGAAGGGGCGGGAGCTCCGTCTTACCGAGCTTGGAGAAGCCCGTGCCGCTATAATTGACACGCAATTGTTAGCATATTGTTATGGCAATGCTGGATCAAGCCATCACATCAGCGGGCGGGAGACGGTGAAACATACTTGTCCATGACAACGGCCGGAGTTTGGTTTGCCATGGCGAGAAGGGAGAGGGGGAGACAGCGGGGAGAAAGAGGGAGGAGAGGCTCGCGATCGAAGCTTCACAAGGTCGGCGTCCCGTATAGAGCAAGAATAGCCTATGCTGAATGAGAGGGGTAGAGAGGAGGAAGGGAGACGACGACGACGACGGCAACGGTGGTGATGGCTGTGTTGGTTGGTCGGTCGTCGGTGAGTAGTAGGCACAGCAAGCCCAAGACAGGTAAGAGGTAAGATAGTCGGATAGTAATTGGTTTTAGTGGGGTAGTAGCGTAGAGAGCGAGCGGGTAGGCAGGCACCTAGGTTAGGTTACTTAGGCCTGCCAATTGTAGAGCTACAGGGAGAGCTAGAAGTACCTGTTACCTGTAGTTGTAGAGGTGCTCTAGATGCTGTCAGGTAGGTACTTTTGAGGCTGCAATTCTTCATACCTGTTCAGCAGGCTGAGTGATGTAGGCGATGACGATGGCTCAACGATGATGCCTAAGCTAAGTACAGGTACAAGGATGCCGCCCCAAAGTTGGTGCTTACCTAATTTAGTTAGTAGCGAGGCCCCCAGATCGATCCCAATTATGTGGAATTGAGGACAGCTGGCGGCATCTGTGTCTCTCTATCTACCTAATTTTTATGACCTTTTCGCATTTGAGTCATAAGTGCTTGGCTGGATGTAGGTAGACTTCATTATACTGCCTTCCTATCTCCTAAAGATAAATACAGTCTCTTCATCACAAAATGGAAGAATTGGTCTGTCTGTAATGAGCAAGGCCTGGTTTTTAACGTGAATCCTCATGTGAAAATCTGCCACAAATCAATCGTTTGTATATACTATGAAGAGCCTCATAACTTTCAGTTTTCCATCTCTCAAACCCCGACAATAGTAATTTGGTAGTTATTTTATAATACTTGACTAGAATGATAGGCTCCGTGAAGCCTGCCAGTCTTTCACCGAATTATAGATCCATCGCTACTCAATCATTAGCCTACCGTAAGTACGCGTGTGATTAGTATGTGGAACATTCCATTGCCCCTGTTAACAAATTGGCGATAGAAACGCTCGTTTCGCCTATCTTCATATCCGCCGGTGATTCAGATTACCCCTAAGAACTTCTGATAAGGTTCGTTCCTCATCTCAGGGGAACCTATTCGAAACGGCCATCATCAAGGTCCCTGCCTCATGAAGCCTGCTGAGGCCTTCAAGTCCCTCCTTCCAATAACACTTGGGTGTCCTCTTCCTCCTTGCCGTCACAACGGGGACATACGCTCCATGGTTGAGCCTGCCTTTCAGAGTTGGCAGCGCTAGCCGTTGCTTCTATATCTTTATTACCGGCCTTCTGGAAAGTTGGGGCTTCATATGCCGGCCACGTCACGGTTTGAAAACGTCGGTCTTGCGGTTTCGACTTTCACTCAGTCCGATATCTCCGCCTCATTCGAGTCCTAGTCTACCTCTCCGTAGCCTATAGATCTCTTGGCCTTCGATCCGCTGTCGTGCTTCGTCGCGGTCAGCCATATCTGTCACACATACTATACGGAGCATAGATATCCCTGGCCACAGCAAACGTATCTTTGAATTCAAGCTCTATTTAGTACGATTTAAACGGCATTCATTCTAGCTAACCATTTCTATTGCCAAATCAGTCTTTGCTGCGCATCCGGCTACTTCCCACGGCTGCCAAAAGAGATCGTTGCATTGATCTCTTCGCGTGGCTGTTATAATCGTCTAGATGCCAGCACTATATACATCGATTCTTTCCTAGGCACCCAGAGTGTTGGGTTTGAAGACCCTGGCAAGGAGTTAGTTAGCATCATACACACTACTTTGAAACCCTGTCTTGTCAGCCAACCACTTTCTGGTCAAGAATGCCAGATCCCTTGCAACCATGTGCGCCATCTAGTGCACAGTTTCAGCCTGAAGGGGCGAAATGTGATAGACCTCCGCCATTACGGACTTATAATCATCAGATTCGATCGCTCCTCGGGAAAAGGGACCATGCGGAAGATGAGGCCGCACCTCCAATGATGGCAGGAACAACCTCCGGGCCCAGCCATTCTACCGCTGGTAAAGCTGTTAGCCTTCAAGATATTGGTGATGTGGATGGATCGGAAACTAGTTCAGACGATGACAGCATGTTCGCCGTGGATGGAGCTGCGGACAGGGTGAGTAAGCGCTGGGGAAAACCTGTCACAGCCATATTCATACACGCTGGAGCCGGCTACCACAGTACGGCAAACGAAGAGCATCATCTCAAAGCCTGTAGCGAGTAAGTTCAGTCACCTCTACCCTTCTTCTACGACTGTGGGTATACTGACATGTGACATGGCAGAGCTGCTCGTGTGGGTATGAAGGCACTAAAGGCTGGGCGTCCAGCTACTGAGGCCGCCGAAGCAGCTCTCGTGGTTCTCGAGAACAAAGAGATAACCAATGCTGGCTACGGCAGTAACTTAGCAATTGATGGCACCGTCGAGTGTGATGCTACTATAGTTGATCACTTTGGCCGCAGCGGAGCCTGCGGCGCCGTACCAAGTAAGCTTTGCTCTATCATGTCTGCTACAAAGGCGTTTCTTACGTTACACTCAACTAACAACCCAATCCCACAGACGTGAAGAATCCCATCAGTCTAGCAAGGATGATTCTCGAAAGTAGCAACAAGCCACTATCGCTTCGCCGTGTGCCACCTAACCTCCTTGTCTGCGAGGGAGCCAGAGATTTCGCTAGAGACTCCGGTATGATGCTAGTGGGCAACGACGATCTAATATCCAAAAATGCCCGCGATCGGTTTGTTCGATGGCGGGATGACATGAGGCGAGCGGAAAGCCACGATATTCAGGCGATGGCAACAAGCCGTAGCGAGATGGTGCCGCAATACGACCAAGACCCCCGTAAGGAGCACACGAAAGCTCTTCTGACGGGAACATGGAACGAAGGGCAGCCAGACTCCCCAACTTCGGCTTCTCCATGGCTAAGCCCACAGAATCGTCAGTCACCCGTGCCGACTACCCAATCAACGGAGACAGCTCAGATTTCTCCCAAACCTACTCCGGAACGCAGCCCACTCAGCTTTTTGGGTGCCTCTCTGCCATACAAGCGACACCGCTTTCTACCGCCTCACAGCGATGAATACACGGATGGATGCATGAGTCCAGGTCGATCGTCCATACCCTCCCACGACGGGGCTAGTGATGAGGTAGACCCTATAGCCCCAATTCCTTACGGCCTACGACGATCCAATGTCTCTCAATTAGCTAATTCTGAGTATGCTATTAATATGGGGCGTGATGACCATATTACAGACACAGTAGGTGCCATTGCTATCGACCAGCTGGGCCACATAGCAGCTGGCTCATCGTCAGGCGGCATCGGCATGAAGCACCGAGGACGGATCGGGCCAGCAGCATTAGTGGGTGTAGGCACAGCCGTTGTTCCCGCTGACAGCCGCGACGCTGATGCGGTGACGGTAGCGGCAGTGACCAGCGGTACCGGCGAGCACATGGCTACGACCATGGCCTCGCAGCGATGTGCCGAGCGCCTCTACCATGGTAGCGTGCGTGGCGCAGACGGTCGAGACGTACCCGAGGATGACGAGAACGCGATCCTCGAGAGTTTCATCCTCAACGATTTCCTCGGGCACCCTGGAGTTCGGGAATCGACGTCCACAGGCGCCATCGGCGTAATGGCTGTCAAGAAGACGCCCGGCGGCTACTATCTGTATTTCGGACACAACACCGAGTCGTTCGCCCTGGCGTCGATGGGATCGAACGACCAGAGCCCCTCGTGCACCATGTCGCGGATCAACGATGGCGGGAGCCCTATCGCACAGGGCGCTCGCAAGATTTTCATCTGACCAGAAGCTTGTCCGCCCACCCTGAATAGGTGTTGAGAATCATTTACAAAAAAAAAATTGAAATTAAAAAATAATTCAAATAGTATTTCTTTCACTGCATGAACCACACCTCCGAGTAGCATGGACGGCGTTTGATACCCTATATATCCTAACCAGCCCTTCTCTCCCGCCTTCCACCCCTCCTGTATACTTATCTTATTCTGTTTCCACAAGCTTGATCAGTCATCCATCAATCCTGCACCCCACGAAGCTTTTCCAGCGAAAGTTTTCCATCCTGTCTTTATCCATTTCGCGACTGCGCTATTTTACCTTATAGCTTTTCACTCGAGAATTATGGCAGGCACACGCACGTACTTTCTGCCTCGTTTTCAATTCGGATGTCAGGTCGGCTGATGAGATGTTGAAAGATAAGGCGCTGGCAGAATGTATGGCAGGCGTTGCATAGTGAAGGGGAACAGACGGAATTGAACTGGGCTGTACAGCGAGCTAGCTTACAGTACACAAGCAGACAGATTAAGAAATGTAGACCATAGATCAAGCGAAGACCTTATTTCCTACCTATTACTTGAATGACATTCACATCGTATGTTTCATGATCAACAGAATGAGTTTATATGAAAGACAAGAGTGACTGTTTGTTCTCAAAACTATATCGGATGCTTTGAACCTATGAAATCTTACATGCAATAACGATATTAGATGAGTTAAAGACGACGGCAGATGCGAGGTTTCATGTGTATCTAAATTAGAAATATGCCAAGATGGCAGAGGATATAATGATATGGTATCTGCTTTATCCAGATCTACTAGGGGATTTTATGGCTATACGCTCTACGTAGGAACGACAAATGACCCGAGTCCGCGGCATCCCAGCCCAGCTAAGCTAAGCCGGACCTGGTGTCTCCGCCGCACTCCCAGTGCCTTCCCTCCCGGTGCCATTGACGACGCGTTTCCTCTTCTTCTTCTTGCGTGGGACGACGGCAGGCTTAGCGCCGTAGTTGCCGAGGGCAAGCTTGGTGCCGCAGGTGAGACACTCGGCGTTGGCGGGGATGTCGCAGAATATGCTGAGGCAGATGCTACAGACGAAGCCCGTGTCAACGACGTTGCGGTGGCAGAAGCAGGCTGCGCGGAAGTCCACGGAGTCCTGGGTTGGGGTAATGAGGGAGGTTCGAGCTTCGATGTCGGAGAGGAAGCCAAACATGAGATATGTGAGGAGACCGCGCGGATTCGCGCCGGCAGAGAGAAAGATACCGTTGGTAATGAAGGCTGCTTGTTGGAGAAACGTAGGTGCTGAATAGAGGGACAGTGTGTCGATGGGGATGCGCGCGTGCGAGGCGGCGAATACGGCGTTCATGGTCGGGATATACTGTGCGGGCTCAGACTCTGAGACTGAGATCACGAGTATGCGGGCATGGAGATTCAGGATAGCCGCTTTAGTCGACGGAGCGGTTGTCGGGTTGGCAGGGTTTGTAGATGTCTTAGGCGCCTCGAAAGCGAGAGACGTCTTGTGGATATAGGACAGGGCCATGCTGAGGGCGCCAGAGATTAGAGTGGTCGGGTTGAGGTCGGATGGCGAGGTGCTGTCAATAAGAGAGCGCAAGGATGAGAGGATGGACGACTCAACCTGGGCGAATTGGGGGTATTTGTTGGCGGAAGTGCCGAGCTGAGGTTCTCGTGGGCGATGGCCCTGGCTGTCAACACCCGTCATCTCGACATCGGGACCACTGCTACTGCCATTGCGCCGTCTCGAGAGAGCCTGATCCGGATTAGGTGATGGGGGATAGAGCCAAACGGCACGATTGGTGTGGGCGGCAACAATGGCAACCTGGTTCTCATTCCCGTAGGAGAGGTGGGCATTGACGAAGACGAAGATGTTCGCGATAGCCTTGGAGATGGGCAGGAGGTCGTGGATGGCAGCCCAGGCGCGAGGGTTGGTGTCGATGACGACGGTCAGGAGTGAGGGCGTCTGGCTCTGGAAAGCGCTCTCGTCATAGTGTTCCGAGGCATCGATGCGATTCATCTCTTCTTCAGGATCTCAGGGAACGCTCAGGTCATAGTCGTCTGAGAGGGACTTATCGCCGTAGAGTCGTGATCCTCACGCGACCGTCAAGGGCAGGACGGCAGGGCCGAAAAGCAGAGCTGCATTCCTCGCTCGGCGCTCCACGTAGCAGACCCTACGGAGATGCCGCCAATTAGAACCGTGGAGAAGACAGCATATACACGTACGCTGTGACAAACGTGCGGGCCCAATATGAGACGGAGGCCAGTGTCAACAGAGAAGGGGTGTTGAATAATGTTTTTAACGTTGTGGTAAACTGAAGGTTTCCCATGCGCGCCCAGGATGGGAATAGAGACGCTACTTGGCTCGCTTCACGCTTGTCTAAGAGGTACCTACGTACTGTAGAGCTTTGCCCAGGTCTCAGTACTAGTCTAGCAGGGGGTTAGTGGGTACAGGAATGTACTTGTCGGCACCTACCGAATACTACCGACGTCATTTACAAGGCTTAATTACAGGACCTGCGTAAGTATATGATATCCATTGTAACTGATACCTAGTTCTGGGGCTTCTCTCGTACAGATAAATCCCTATTAGCTACCCTGCATTCTTGTTCAATTTAACGATTCCTCTACATAGGCCGATATCATTTGATTTCGGTTTCGTGGTTGTCAATCAAGTAACAAGTTCCTCAACGTGGCCAGTTACTAGGAGTGAGGGTAGTAAGGTATCACCGTACCCATGTACAGTACATGAGTATGTATGTACCCTGGAATCTTTCCAGATTCGGCATTGTACCTGTAAGTAGGCTCAACGTCCAATGGCGGGGTAGGTGCTTGCTTCGATGCCCGCTCGCCGTTGCCCTTCAACCGGCGATCAGTCTACCACGTACCAGACTACATGTACCTACTAGCTGAGCAGAGCTGCCTTCCGGTACCTACATACCCTCCTCCTTGTTTCTTAGGTAATCCCATTTCTTCTCCATTCAAGTTGGCTACCTACAGACTTCCAGTAGCTTGAGGTATTGATATATCCACTACTTACTATACAGCAGCTTCTTTCTGTCTGTTCAGCTACAAGAGGAAGGAAGAGAGAGCAAGCGAGAGAAAGGGGCAAAAGGCTGTGGAAAAGGCCCAAGAGGAGAAGGGCAGAATCAAGTTACCAACTTGTATGCTGTGCGTACACTTTCCCGTCTTCCCTCTCTTACTGTCTGTCAGGTTTACGTATCTATCTATCTCTAATTCGTCCATTGCGTGTGCTCCGGGCTGTCCTATGGTCTGTCTCTTCCCTCCCCCCCCCCCGGCGCTCTTCTCTCGCACGTGTTTCTATCGCAACCGGGCTCAGAGTTTGTCCTATTATAGTAATAGCATCGCAGCCTTGTCCTCGCATGCATAAATCTACGTCGCCTGACTCTTACCTGCTTACTCCCTGCGTCCCTCGTGCTCGACGCAAGCCCCGTTGCTCGACATACCCATCTTTTCACTGGGTGACTTTTCCTGTATTTTATACAGATTTTGAGGACTAAGGTTCGTATTCTAGGTAAGTAATCAAACCGTTGCCTTTCATTTGCTCCTTCGTCATATCTCTTAAGTTGGTTCGATATTCATGCCCACCCCTGTATCCCCTCGTAATACCCAATCAGGTAATTGCGTACGTGATCTATTTTCTTTTATATATCTTACTTTGCTCTGGCTTATAGCTATGTGTGGATTTCTGTCTTTCGTTATTAACTCTTCGCTCCTGGATTGATCCCTTCACTGCTTATCATTGGTTTGAATCGCATACGCGGCCATCAACGCGCGTCCGTGAGAATTGTCTCCTTCGTTGCTTAAACTTCATTCTTGCGGTTGTTTGATAGCTGACGACTGTAGCTCAGTGCCTTGTTTTCTTCCCTTCAAACAACGACGTGTCGCGCCAACGAAACTCTAGCAACCCCTCCTTTCCCCCCAATTCACTCCGGTGTAGTTCCTTCACCCCCTTCACCTCATCAAAGTTCATGACTTCCGCCTGTTTAAATCTCTCGGTCTTTCCCTCCCCTCATACCTCATTTCCCCATACTCTAATCCCACACACCTATATACCATATATCTACCCTTCCAGCTGCCCACGACCACTTCACACCACGAGGTCCTTTGTTTAGGCAAATTTACACAGTGAGAACAAAGACAGCTAAAGCACTGCTCATTTTAACACGACTCAATAGGAGCTACGACATACGTCACCAACTAGTGCTCATTCTGGTCACGCAAGCTACCCAGAATTAGATACTTGAAACTTGCCTGAAACCATCCTCTCTCGTACTTCTACTCCACGTATTCCCTCCCACCTACTCACGCTTCGTGCGTCATCTCATCATCATGGATCAGACAGCTACTGCTGAAGCTGCTGAGCTCTCTGCTGCCAGCAAGCTCAACCCCGTGGAGCAATCTCAGCTTCTCCTTGCTCGGCTTATGGAAGGTGGCCAGGAAGATGACAAGACTTGCCAAGCTCTTGATCGTTTGACCTTTCTACTCAACGACGAAGCCGACTGGAACGCCAGGCGTGTAAATAAACGCGGCCCTAAGAACTTTTACGCTGGCTTGCCCCCAGACGAAGAGGAGAAGAAACGATCAGAAGCCGGGTCCATCGTGGACGTCCTAGATGATGTATGCGTTGATACTGTTCTTGGATATCTGGATATGAGACAATCTGACGCAGTCCGTGATCACGCTGTGTTGACTGCCTCCGCATACTTTGGAGCTGCCAAGGAAAAGGGAGCACAAGCTTTAAAGAAGTTCTTCTTTGACCGCGTGAAGAGGGGCGCCTACGATGATTACATAGTTGCCTTCTGTGTTTCAGCTGCCGTCTTCCCCATCGCTCCAAACCCTACGGTTCAGATGTTTCTCAGCGAGGGCTTTCTAGCAAGTCTAGCTCCCTTGATGCGCAGAAAGTGGAAAAGTCGCAAAGTCGAGACAGCTTGTCTCGAGATGCTAAACGCCGCCTCTATGCATCCAGATTGTCGCGGCCCCATCAGGACCTATTGTACTGAATGGTTAGAGGAGGTCGTCGCTCAAGACCCCGAGACACTATCCACTGCCGTTCATGCTGCCGATCCTGATGTAGAGATGAGCACTGGTTCCATTTCCATGAGAAGACACTCCCAGGTTGTGCAGAATCTTGCCGCCGTCATCCTGGCAAAATTGACGGTAGGCACTCTTAAGTTTCCCGATAAGGTCGCGCCTAGCTACGAGAACTTAACGTGGCGGTGAAGAATAGGCGCCTTGTTGCGCAGGGCTGATCTGGTTGGTTTCAGGCAGTGCCATCGACAACGCGAGACATGACACAGGGCGATGAAGGCAGGATTCAGCCCGCAACAACCAGCATCGAGGACTTATCCAAGAAATTTACTACATTATTGCTTGCAGAACCCAAAAATGACAAAGGGCCGGCCATTGAAGGTTTAGCATATGCCACTATCAAGCCTACTGTAAAGGAAGAAGTTGCCAGCAACCCCGAGCTTTTAAAATCCCTCGTTAACACTCTTCGGGATGCTCCCGCCAAGTCGCTCATTACTTATGGTATTCTCAGTATATTTGTAAATCTCACTCGCTATCTGCCTGTACGGTCCGAGGAAGAGAAAAAGATGGATCAGCTCAAGGCCTACGCAAATGCTGCCGGTAAGCTCGCAGCACCGAACCCTCTTAATGGTGACAGTCACGTTGCCGATCGATGTAAGCAGGTCTTTGAGGCGGGTGTGATCTCCGTTTTGGTGACTCACAGCCGCTATGGATCAAACGCATCTCTCTCTCTCATTATATCTATAGTATATTCCCTTTCTGTCAATATAAGTCTCCGAGGACAGCTTGCCCAACAAGGAGCTGTCAACCTATTAATTGCAGCATGGACCGCGCTACCTGATACCGAAGCACCGGCCAAACGCATGGCAGCGCAGTCCCTGGCTCGCATCTTGATTAGTACTAACCCATCTCTTGTTTTCGGAGGAACGCGTGCTCGCCCGCAGAATGCGGCCATCAGACCTCTGGTCTCCATCATTCCACCTGATCCAGTCGCCGAAACGCGAGATCTATTACCAAGTTTTGAAGCCCTGATGGCGCTCACCAACCTTGCCTCGACAGACGACGATACACGGGCTACCATTATCCGCACTGCATTGCCTGAGATTGAAGAGCAGCTTTTATCCTCGCATCACTTAGTTTCCAAAGCAGCCACGGAACTCATCTGTAACCTGGTACAGTGTGTCGAAGGCGTTGCTCTATATGCCGCAGGCACCACCCAGGCAGCCGATCGCCTGCATATCCTACTGGCACTTACCGATGCCGAAGACGAGGCCACACGGAGCGCTGCTGGAGGTGCACTAGCATCGTTAACGGCATATGAAGAAGTTGTGCGGGGTATTATTAAGAGGAAGCGGGGCGTCGAGGTCGTTCTCGGCTTATGTGCCGAGGACAGCGAAGACTTGCGGCATCGTGGGGTTTTTATTGTTCATAATATGATTTCGCAAGAAGGTGAAGCGGGGAAATTGGCGCGGAAAGAAATCCAAGACAAAGACGGCATCGAGATCCTGAAGACGTGCGCTAAGAAGAGTCGGAGGGCGGAAGTCGTTGAGGTCACGGCACAGGCGTTGAAAATCCTTTTGGAGGAAGAGTAATCAATATGATTTTGTACTTTCGTTACGATGCGGATCGCAAAGTTCCCTACTAAATTTGATGTGATTTGATGAACACGGCCGAATTAATACTTACTTATCTAGTGTTGCGTAGTGATTACATCTTGCTTCCTGCTTCGATTGGTACTGTAATCTCGCACTTCATAGTGTGTATAGCATATATATTTAATTTGATGATGTTAGGAGTAGTACCCTTTATTTAAGTAGCCAAGTTTTGAACACCCAACCGACCTATTGAACATATATATACACTATCTCGACCCCAGCAATGATATCCTCCCATGCAGCCTCAATAACCATATACCGTCCCAATCTTAAGCCTCAAGGTATCACACTCGCTATTCAGCTCTATCTTAAGTAATTGTGGTTTCGACCTAATTTTATTCCTGCCCCTGCTCCTCGTCGACGCGATTCAGCACCGCCACGCCCTCGACATGTCCCGTCTGCGGGAAGAAGTCGAAACCGCGCAGACTCTCAACAGCGTATCTCGCACCCTTTCCACCGTCGTCATCCCCGCGGACGAGAACACCTATATCGCGCGCCTGCGTATGCACATTGCAGCTCACGTACACGACCCTCCTGGGCGCGAAATTCAGCAACTGGCGCAGGAAGTCGCCGTCGCAGCCCTTGCGCGGCGGATCGAGGACGACGACGGTCTCGTCGGCGGGGTACGTGACGCTCTTGAATAATTCGCCTGCGTCGGCGGCGATGAAGTTCGCTTGCGAGGTGGGCAGGTTGTTGGCTGCTGCGTTGGTGCGGGCGAATGCTATGGATGATTCGGCGATGTCGATGCCCGTGGACCCTTGGAAGAGAGACGAGAGGGTGATTGTGAAGAGGCCTGATCCGGAGTATGCGTCGATGAGGTATTTGATGGGCGAGGAGGAGGAGGATGGGGGAGGGAGGATGTGTTGCCGGATGTACTCTGTGAAGATGGGGAGAATGGAATTGTTGTTCTGGAAGAACGAGCCTGCTGGGTTGTGGAAGACGTAGTCGCCTATGTACTCTGTCGATGTCCCGTTGTTGTCCGTCACGCATGTTTTCCAGTCTACGTGCTTCTCTGTCTCTACTTTGACGAGGGGAGAAGAGGATGACTCCTCGGTATTTGCAGAAGAGGTGGTTTCGGAGTCTTTCGGCACGCGCTTCGTGCTCTCGCGTAATAGGATCGTAGCACCCTTTTTGTACTTCGCGAATTCACGATCCATCCGCTCGCGCTCGGACTTCATGCCCTGCCGCACAACGTCTGTCCCAATGGGGCAATCCTCGATGTCGAGCGTCGCGCGCTTTCCCTTGAACATAAAGCCGACGTCAGGACGCTTGGTGAAGGTCGCAGTGTTGTTCCTGCGCGGGCCGGGTGGCCCATCGAAGTGCGGCGTGAGCTTGGTGCGGTAGCCGTACTGGAGGGGGCTGCCGATGGTATCTCCAATGGTGGGAAGGAGCTCTGGCGGTAGCTCTGAGAAATTCGCGAACGCCCTCTCGACGATCTTCTTCTTGTGCGCTAATTGATCGGCGTAGTCGAGCATCTGGAACTGACAACCTGAGCACTTTGAGAAGTACGGGCAGCGCACGCGGGTGTCGTCGCGTATGGGCGCGGGCGAGACAACGGATATGAAGTCTGCCACTGTGTATCCCTCGTTGCGCAGGTGGCGATACACTTTGGCCTTGACTGTGTCGCCAGGCACGGCGAAGGGCAGAACATAGATCTGTTTTGAGGAAGAGTCCTTTTGTACAGCGAGTGCGTCACCAGTGGACGAGAGCTCGACGACGTTGAGAAGGATTTCAGAGTCGGGCTCCGGTAGAGGCTCTTCCTCAGCGGTCGTGGTGGTGGACTCAACGTCATCCGCCTCGACGCCAGTGAGAGAAGCCCTGAGGTCGCGGATATCGAAGGCAAGGACCTGTTCTGTTGAGCCGCTCTGCATAGCACGCTCTCTCTTGCGGATTTTCTTGGCCTGCCTCTTCTTGCCCTGGTGGGACCTCTGGTGAGAACCTGGCCGCTTCCCGTGTGGGTTTGGCGCCGGGCTCTTTTCCATGGGCGTACTTGGAGTATCTGTTGCCATGGCAGCAAATTCTTTGAACGATAATGAATTACTCTTCTGGAAGTCTGTGTCTGACGTCGCCCTTGAGGGCCATGCAGATTTAGAGTGAGTCTCTCGAATGGGACCCGGGAAAGAAGTCAGCCGAGACTGGCTGATGATTTGGTTCTTCGGCAAGGGTTTCAGAAAGCTGTATCCCCTGACTACAGAATTCAATGACGAACCGAACCTTCTCATTCCCGCAATTGTCGTGATACGCAAAAATGAGTTCTCTTGTTCAGATACATTGGTTGATTGATTATGATAGCCTTCGAATTGTACGAAGTATGCAAAAATGCGAATGAGTGTAAGGACCAATCAGAATTTTGATGTGATACTCACTTGCTGTTATTGGACGCTTCAGTGCGCCTACCTACGAAGTAGTGGGCTAGTGGGTGTTAATCCAGCGATAGGTACCTACCAGAGTAGGTCCACCAAGAAACGTCCGGTTTACCCATTGAGAGGCATGGCTCACCAAGACCCTATAACTTTAAAAGCCTGGAAAACTGCCAACTAGATTAATATACCTATAAGAATTAACTCAGTAATGGTAATTACGATAGTAAAATGCTTCGTGTTAACTATATAATTTTTCCATTTTATTTAAGTATTCTAGAGCTGTTTAAACTTATAAAGTCTTGGTGAGCCATACCTCTCAATGGGTAAACCGGACATTTCTTGTTGGACCCACTCTGTACCTACCTACCTACCTAACGTACTACCTATGCACATACATAAGTATAGATGTTTAGGGACTTGTGCACCTTGTAAACTCGATGAATTCAATATGCTTTATTCTTTTCCTTACTAGATTGACCAGTATACCGGTATGAGGTAGTTGGTCTGTGATGTGTAAATCTACCTCGGTATGATATACGCCCCTACCATAGTACAAAATGACTTGATAGGCTACAATAGCTTTGATCGCTACCTACCTAACCTATGTAGGCAAGCACATAGCTTTATGTGGCTTAGTACAAATCTTGCTCACGTACAGTGAAGAGTTATCGCAGAGATCTTCCTTTCGAATGACAATCTAGATCTCAACTCTGTAGCACTGCTTGGGTGTCCAGTAATCAAAGCTGAATAGGTAGGTAGGTAGGTAGGTAGGTAGGTAGTTAGCAGTAATAATACCTACGTAGGTATTTTCAAAACTGTTCCTGCGGGTGGTTCTGTTTCATCATTACGCGGGTATATTTAGGCCTCAAAAATACCGGTGTCTATTTTGATACCACTTAATTGACGAGAGGCGCCAATTGAGGAAAAGCAGCCAGCCACGAAATTGAATGTCACATCGGCACTTAAATCTCTAGCTATACTTCCTACTATATGTAGGTGTTCAAGGAAGCAAGTATCGGAATAGCATTGTGCTCATTGCTTTTGCACCCTGCCATTATTGATATCTTGCAGGTATACCTACCTAGTAGGTTAGCCATATATGTACACGATGATTTAAGATGGCAACACCGGTATCGTAAATGGACATGGTTTCTTATCTCTCTGCCTCAAGTACTTAGGGATTCCTTTTGCGGCAAGGCCGGGTCGACGACTCGCTCCTTGATTCGTGAGGACCCTTGATAACGGGACCAGGAGTCGGCAGGTCGGCCGCTAACACCCTATCAGAGATGTATCATGGTAACTAACTAACTGCTTTTGTACTTACTTAAGTACTTACTATAAGTGTGTGTGCTACTAATAGTCATGGACATTCCCGGATCTCTACTAATCACGCTCGCTCAGACGTGTATTAATAATTAAGAACCTGAAAATCCGACACCGTGATATGACTGGCTACCCATAGCAGGTATCTCTAAGTAGCGCCTGCTGGCTTGAAAGGGCCACCGGCTCTTCCTCTTCTTATGTTGGTGGCTTGATTGCGCTTTCGCCATCGACTGCATATCTGTTGCAATCCGGGCCCTCAATACCTACCCCTACCTAGGTAGTTTCGCTCTATAGGTTCAGCATCATTTGCCACAGCATCGCGCATCAAGAAGAATTCTGGCTGTATATTCGTATAGGTAATCTAATTGACAATGAGTATGTTTTCCCTATCGGCCATAATCTACGGTTATACATGATCCTAACCGAAGTCAAAAGAAAGGTTATCGAGTCTACCGCAGAGCTTACTGCTCCTGCTCTTGACGGCCACCCCCAGCCTCGGACTTCCTCGGAATCAGTGGGAAAGTCAGGACCAAGTCGTGCTTGAATCCTCCACACCCGGCCGCCGAGGTGCCGTCGCATCAGAGAGTAAAGTCTGCAGCCAGATCGGCATCGATCTGCTTGCACGTGGCGTAAGTGGCCCTTCCAAAAGTCATACGCTACTTGTGAAGAACTTTAGGCTCATGACTTATGCAGGGAAATGCCGTGGACGCATTCATCGGCACCCAGCTCTGCGTGGGCGTTATCGGGATGTACCACTCTGGTCTCGGTGGCGGAGGTTTCGCTCTAGTCCGGGATCAAAACGGGGAGTACACAGTCATCGACTACCGAGAGACGGCGCCCGCAGCCGCTTTTGAGGACATGTACCGGGACAACGTGAACGGGAGCATATTCGGCGGTCTGGCAGCCGGTGTGCCGGGTGAATTGCGCGGTCTTCAGGTATGTATCAACACCTACCGTGCCAGTTCTGAGACCTAGACTTGGTAGAATGATCTGTTGTCTTCCAGCGCTAACTGTTGCCGCAGTACGTGAACTTCTGATCCTGAAACATGATCACCGTGATCTGCGTAAATTCTAGAAAGTACGTAATAAGGAACTGGACTAACACGTTTTTATACGGCAGATACGCGCATAACCGATTCGGCTCTCTGCCCTGGTATGACGTTGTTTACCCGGCCTCTCTGGTGGCGAGGGATGGGTTTACTGTGACGCCAGATACGGTTCGCTATATGGAGTTTGGTGTTCGTGCAGCGGGATGGAACTTCTTGGTTGAAGAGCCCTCGTGGGCTCAAGATTTCGCTCCTAATGGTATGATCCTATCCTCACCTGACGCTTCAAGTTGCCTAGCTAACCTATATACAGGCACTCTAGTCAAACTGGGCGAAACCATGTACAGAAAACGCTATGCGAAGTAAGAAAAAAGGACCCGCGATGATAAACGCTGTACTTAGGTTTTCTAACATGGATACAGGACCCTGCAGAGAGTCGCCGAGGAAGGTGCTGATGTGTTCTACACCGGAGATATAGGTTCGCCAATGTCCCTGTATACTATTGCCCCTCACATTCCCGAAATCTAACATTCGTACAGCCGAAGATACAATAGCCACGATCCAGAGTGGCAATGGTACAATGACCCTCGCGGATCTTGCCGAATACAAGGTCATTCCGCGGCAGCCAGTGAACATCACATACCGCGACTTCACCATCTACGCCTCTGGCGCGCCAACAAGCGGCGCAGTGAGTCTGAGCACTTTGAAAACGATGGAAGGGTACCACGACAAAGCAGACGCGAATCTCACAATGCACCGCTTCGACGAAGCTATGCGCTTCGCCTACGGCGCCCGCCAAGGCCTAGGCGACCCAGCTTTCGTCGAGGAAACTTACAGACTAGAAAACCACATGCTCGACGCCAGCAGCGCGGTCACGACGCGCTCGCACATCCTGGACAACAGCACGCAGCCCGTGGAGAACTACGCGCCCGGGAAGATATACACGACGCCGGGCGAGGGCACCTCGCACATCACGACGGCAGACGGATCCGGCATGGCCGTCTCCAGCACGACGACAGTCAATTTGCTCTTCGGAAACCTGCAGATGGTGCCGTCGACAGGGATCATTCTCAACAACGAGATGAACGACTTCTCGATCCCGGGGGTGCGCAACGAATTCGGGTTCGAGCCGGCCGTGGCGAATTTCATCCGCGCGGGGAAACGGCCTTTATCCTCGATTACGCCGCTCATGATCGCGCGCGCAGACGGCACTGGTGACGAGGAGCTCTTTGCCGTTGTGGGAGCAGCGGGCGGATCACGGATCATTAGCTCCACGACACAAGTAGCCTGGCGCGTACTGGATAATCTCACCATGGCTGAGGCTATCGCGCTTCCGCGCGTGCATGATCAGTTAATGCCCAACACGGCGGTTCTAGAGGAAGGCTTCGACACTGGCATGGCTGCGAGCCTGGCGGACAGGGGACACAATGTTACGTGGGTCGAATTAGCCGCGAGTTCCGTGCAGGGCGTGCGAGTCCGGTCTGACGGTGTCTTCGAGGCTGCTTCGGAGACTAGACAGGTGGGTAGTGGTGGGCTTACGATATGATACGTTGTAGTAGACAGGGTGGTAGACAGGCAAGAAAGCGTATAGATTGGTAGACTTAGAATGGCACGCGAATATAATATGTTGTAATCAGCGCACTAGACAAATATATCTCACCCTGTATATCCACGGGCCCAAGAGACAAAGGTCGAAGCAGTAGAGCGTGTTGGGATGTGTCTATTGCAGCAGAGCAGGCGGGCCAAAGACAGTCAATAAACTTCGTTATATCATCCTCCTAGCTAGGTGATCTAGAACCAGATCTACCTACCCATCTTATTCTTCTACATAAGCAAAACAGAAAGCAAAGGTATAAACTCCAGGGCCAAGCCAACCGTTCCCATGCATTAACTATTCTAAGGGTATCACCCACGAACGCACCTATCCGCGTTGCATGTCCATTCACCTCCTAATGCACCATCTATTAATTTCTAGCGGTCCAGTCTATTGTACCCAGGTATGCAGGCTACGATCACGGCATTGCCCCGACGACCTTTTCCAGCTGCGCTAACCAACGCTTGGTAAACTCCTCGTCTGAGAATCTCCGGGATGATTTACGCGCCCTTAACCGAACAGCCAGCGGATCGGGCAAGGAAAAAGCTTTCTCGAAACCTTCGGCGTACTCCGTTGTTGTGGTGGCGTGAAATCCTATCATTTAGTCAGTATATCGTCAATCACAGATATTCCTAGGTAACGCAATATTACTCACCTGTTGGCTCCCCATCGATGTCAGCCACGATATCAAGTTTAGGACCTCCGCTATTGTGGACAACGGAGATGAGACCAGCGGCCTGGTACTCGACGACGCCAATGCCAAAATGCTCATTCCACATGCCGTTCGCGCCGATATAAGCCTTGCCTAGCCACTCGAGGACCTCAGACCAGGGCACATCGAGCTTGAAGATGACGCGGTCTTTGATGTGGAGCTCGTTGGCGAGCAGCCGAAGCTCGTACACCCGCCGCGAGTCGCTGTCGTCCCTGACACTACCAAGGAGAACAAGCTTGGCGTCTTTACTAGCCGCGGAGCCGGACTGAACAAACTCGGCGAACGAGTTGAGAATGAGCTTATGGTTTTTTTCGGGTCTGAACTGAGCGATATACACTATGCACTTCTCGCGCTTCTTTTCGGCCTGCTCAGTGAGCTCGACGGCCTCTTCAATATCAGTAACAGCACATGGTGGATAGACCACAGCGATCTCGTGTTGACGGCTCCTATCCTTGCGGCGAGCGCCCCACAAGCTCTGAATGTGACCTTGTGTCCAGGTGGAATTGGTCATGACAACATCGACAGAGGCCCCCATGCGCGAGTAAAGGGCAGCAAATAGCTTCCAGTAGTGTCGCTTGAGAGCACCCTTGAAACCCGCCCCCTTTCCGGCATTTACTCCTTGATTCCCAACGGCGCTTTTGGGATCCAGAGACTCGAGCATGTCAGTAGAAATAGTCGGATAGTGTACGTAAGCAGCCGTAGGCACTTTGGGGAACAACAGCTTGCTGAGACCAAGCGTGAAAGCATAGCCCATTGTGTCGACAAAAATGTCAGGTACGACCAGAGAGAACGCATCCCAACCCATGATAACTGAGCCAAGAGATTGTCCTAGCAATGTTGCATGAGGCCAGGTAGTGGCGAGCACCCAATGGCGGGTGGAGAGGTAGAGGAAGTGGATGGTGGGTGGGTGTATGTCAATACTGAAGGTATTCTGGAAAATTCCTATTAGCTTATGCCAACAGCCATTGGCGAAGTGGGCGAGCAGAGGAAGCTAACCTTGACACGAGAGAGCATCTTATCCTTAGACACATCGTGGTCACCAGTGTAGACGACAATCTTAGCCTTCGGCCATCTCTGCTGTGTTGCACGCACGGCAGCCCATAGGACACGCTCGCCGCCACCACCAGCATTGCAAAAGGGATGGAAGAAGCCAACGATGCCGGTCCATTCTCTATCGGTATTTCCCTCTTCCCCGTCTGCCTTTCCCCCACCTACTGCACCGTTTGCTTCGTTCTTTTCACGAAAACTAGCTTCTCCATCCTCGGTGGCGCGTATTATTAAGGCACGACGGCCATCTGTCTTCTTTCGTAGGTACCAGCCGGCGCACGACCCTATCGTCCCAATGAAGGCGCGGAAGATAACGGGTACAAGGTGCCATAGTGCAATGGCGGCAAAGGGCGTCACGGCAATGGCAGCACCAGTAACTAATAGTGTAAGAGGATCCATGCTGGAGCGCGAGGAATCGCCGAATCGTCTCAGGAAGTCGGAGCTTCACAACGATCAGGAGCAATGCGGCGGTACGGGCAAAGTGCAGGCGGCAAGGTATTTCGAAGAAACTAAATTAGCTGTGGAGGGGTATTAGACAGATATTAGACTGGCAGCTGAAGCTTCACGGAGGCTAAGCAAGTAGACTGTATGCAGTGTAGAAGTGTGGGATGATGATCCAGCTCGCTGAACGCCCATGGAGACTCTAAGAGGGGTACAGAACAGAATACTTCAGGCTTTCGAGAAGAGAGGCTGGTGTCTTAAAGAATGAAAACGAGAGACAAAAGGGGGACAGAGAATTGGCTCAGGGTCGACTCGAACAACTTCACATGATAGACATCGTGATGTGACGGATACAAGACCAAGCAAAGCAGCTTGAAGGACACCTTTTGGATTGTTCTTGGCAGATGCAATGTGACCGATTTCTACAAGGGTAGATAGATCCACTGCAGCGGGACAAGAGGGGGGGGTTGAGCTTAGATTGTACCTGCTTGCGTACATGTTTGTAGCTTTATGTAGCTTCAAGTACCTTCACAAGCAGGTTACATAGTTTCTATGAAGTTTCTTTTGATCATTCAGCAAATAAAAGCTGGAACGAACAGTCTTGAATCAGTCCAATGTTTCTACCATATATGATACTTGAATCGAACAGATATGAATGACTTCAGGTTGCTAGCTAGACTCTACTTAATAAAGGTATCTAGGAATACTCGGTACATGCACCTAGGGATCCACATATTGCATGAGAGCTACCTGGCTACCAACTTTCATTGGTGAATTGAACTTCACTCCGGCTTAGATAAATGGCATGTTGAATTTCATGGTTATTCTCAGCAGCGAAATGCCATAACTATGAGATAATGCTTGTCTATCAATGTCCCTAGGCATGTTCCAACAGGTATAGAAGAGCTGATGTACACACCTCCCTCTTCTTAAGCTGTTTATGAGAGACGAGAGTCTCGGCTAGGCGAACCATGCGCCCACTACTAAGCCAATCTCTCCTACGAGCCACAAGAACTCATCCCTCTCACTCGTTGTGCTCTCATCATCTTCGACCAAGCTACACAATCACCACCTCTCGAATCCCACCCTCTCCCCTCCACAGTTATCAATATGGTCGGAGAGCCTTCCATTGGCAATCTGCCGTCGGTGCTGCCATAGAAGGGACCCAAACCCTCATGGTCGGCCTCCACACAGGGACTCAACTGCCATGGTTCATGGTGATTCCGCTCGTGGCCGTAACTGTAGGCACAGTATTCCGCCTCCCTTTCTCCATCTACTCGCAGCGCATCCTCCAACGCCGCGGCGAATTCCGCTCTCTACTTCAAGCCTGGAATGTGCAACTCCAGTACAACGTGTCGCGCGAAGGGATACCCTTCTCATCACAATTATCCGAGGTGAAAAGGCGTCAGGAGAAAGTCCTGAAACGCATATACTCAAAGCTCGGTCTGCAGCAATGGCGGTTGTGGGGCAGTGTTCTGAGCTTTCCCTTCTGGCTCGTCGCCATTGACGCCGTGCGGCGATTATGCGGCGGTCCGCGTGGTCTCATAGGGTCGATGATGACTGGGTCTGATAGCTCAAGCGAGAGCACGGTGATATCGAAGGCCAAAGCAGTTTTGGCAGACACGTCTCTTCCGTCGGGCTCAGTTACGGATCCCGCTACCATAGATCCCGCACTGCTATCTTCAGCAGCGGAAGCTGCGCGCACGTCTGTCGTAGACCCTGCCCTAAGTTTCGAAGGCTGTCTGTGGTTCACGGATCTCACCACCAGCGATCCATATCATATCCTACCCCTCGCTCTATCAGCAACGCTTGTATGGAATCTGCTCCCCAGATCGCGCGATGAGTTCCGAGACCGTTTACGCGTCGCGCTAGGTAGACGACCACAGAGCACGCGAGCGCAAACGTTGGCGGGCGATGCGAAAGTCGGCTTCCGCGAGAGACTATCGGCCATATTCCATATGTCTATGATTGGACTGGCTACCTTGGTCGGCCCGCTCACCATGGATCTACCCGCTGCGTTACATCTGTATTGGTTGGCTTCGTCTCTTACGAATGCTCTCTTCCAGAGAGCCCTTAAACATTTCATACCTTTGAAGCAGGGCTTATTGAAAGGATGTACCAATAACGAATTCATATTCATCAGACCGCAACGAGCGCGGAAAAATTAAGAGGGCATCTCACAGTTAGTTTACAGCCAGATATATCCATAGATATGGATAGTACTTCGAGTTTCCATTCTATATTAGATCCCAATTGGCCGTGTGCAACTAAAATTGGAATAGCTCAGTTGAAACTGAGGTAATTCGGTCTCCCTGAGCATTTCAAAAGATGGCGCTCTGGCATCATTGTATGGACACGGAACAGGCGGTGTTCAGGGAATCTAAATTGCATGATATCGCGTACATAATGCGGTCGGTTGTTTGCATTTAGAAGAACTTGCCAACCCTTTGTACATAATTACGCCAGGACTATATATAATAAAAAACCAAAGTGAAGTCTTATTCAGCTTCAATGTGCTGTGAAGCTAAAAAACACTGAGATGTTCCCAATCAATGTAAAAGTCCTGCTCGGTTGCCCGTGAACACCAAACGCCAAGCCCATATGCCGCTACGACAGCCACGATTTCGCACAAAAGAAAAGTGGAAGAAGTGCTCATTCATCCCAAAAACACGGCTAACAGAACAATGGTCAAGATGACGGCCAGGACGAGGAGCAAGCAGCAAGCCTTGCTCCGGGCGTTCTTCTGATACCTCGCGGCGCTCCGTAGCTCGTAATCGGCACCACGGGTATCGTCTCGCACATTGACAGCGTTGTTTTCTATTGTCTGAAGCTGCTCGCCCTGTTCTCCCACGATCTGCGCAACTTGCTGGAAGAGGACGTTCAGATCGCTGACGCCCTCCTCAATATGCCGAATCTCGTCCTCGCGTTCGGCGATGAGGGCATCCTGGAAGTCGACCTCGTCCTGCGCTGCCAGATGAACTTGTTCCTGTTGTTGCAGCTGAAGCTGCTCCCCATGTTGCCCCGAGGCCCCGGCGGCGTCACCGGCTGAGTCCTGGTCGAGTGCGCCCTTGGCTGCGGAGACGGAGGCACGCTGTTTCTCGAGGGCCGTGCGTTGAAGGGATTGGAACTCAGCGAGGGCGGCCTTGAATTCGCGGGAGAGTTTCTGCTGCGAGTACTTTTGCGTGGGCTTTTAACGGGACAAATAGAGTTAGCCTGAATGATACCAGATGATATCGATTGAAGGCGGCGCTAGATGATGAATAGACAGGTAAAGACTTACCGTGACGTCGGCCCAGGCCTGGATCTTCTTGACGCCTTCGCCCACGTCCTTGAACGTCCCCGTCGATTCCTCGAGAACGGTAGACACGCGCTCTCGCAGGCGCGGATTGTCTCGTTTCGTGCCTAGAAGGCTTATGTCGGTCCGCAACTTCGAGATTTCGCCTTGCAGGTGGAATAGCTGGTTGCTGAGGCCTTGCGACAGACGGGTGAACTCGGGATCGTCAGAGTATGCGCCGTTGTTCGACCGGCGGCCGGCGCCGGACTCCATCGCGGATAACTGGTCGAAGGACATGGCGGGCGAGCGGGATTACTATGGACTTGGCTGTATGTACCGTTTATTTATCTGGATTTACGCTATCCTCGCAGGAAAAGAGACCGGATCATAAAAGAATGATAATTGGCGATGAAGGATAGAGGTTGGGATACAGGCAAGTCACCATGACCATACCTAGGAGATAAGAGAGCTGTACCTAGGCGCTGATGGTAGGCTGCAGCATACTGCAGGTAGCACTATCTGTAGCTGACAGGGGAATGCGACAGTGGACTGCTCTCTCTTGGCTGCGTCATTTCAGCTGCGCCACCAGACCGAGAGGTAGTCTGGCAGGACCCGAACCTATCGAGCCCTGTAGATAACCCACTTGCCCCTCCAAGCAGAACCAGTAGCCCACTGTAAAGACTACCTACAAGGTACCTGACTTGCCTGAGGAAAGGTACAGGGGTGGGAACCTAGCTCCCCTAGGCATGCTTCGTAGCGCTGTCCAGATGCTTAGTTTAGCGCTGCAGCTTAACGGCAACCTTGTCTGCGAGCAGCTCTTTTTTTATTATTATTTTTATTTACTTTTGTTTCAACCATCATCACCAGAAGAATTTCAGCCTCGTCTGCACTAAACAGGTCCTCCAACAGACCTCAACCAGTGTTTCGGCACATTCGCGTTTACAGTGTCGATTCCGACGACTCGTTTTACTCTTCTCTCCGCAAAACAATGTGCTGACTTACCACGATCGCTCTTCCTTTCCCTTTCTTGAGTCGCAAACATGGCTACGCCGGTTGCGCGACGGGCGCCTTATAAAGATTTCCTTCAACCCGCTTTACAGAGACGTTTCGCCGGCACTGCCACAATCTTACTCGGCCTCGCCTATTTCGAGTCTTTGACTTTATCCCGATGGAACTCTCGTACGTTTATTCCACGAATGCTATGCTCGTATACGCCTAGAAACGTACATTCCTGCTCACTATGCGTGCTCTCCAGTCATCTTACCATGGTTTCCCTTGGGCCCCTCAGGTCCACGGGCCTTGGCTCTCTTCATCTGTGTCCTCCCCATTATCATACTACGAATCGCCAACGCTCACATGGGCATTCGGACTTCCAACTCTCTCTTTGACACTCTCTTCCACACCGTGCTGCGACCTTCGACCATTGAGACCGTCCTCACCTACATCATCTCCGCCTTTCTCTTCAGTCAGGTATATCTCATGTCTACCCCAGAAGAGGCTGGTATTCGCTGGATTTCTCAAGCAACCGGTCGTTCGCGCCTCAACGAACATGCGTTGTTCTATACTGTCAATTTGTTGGTTCTTGGTCTTGTCCAAGGTATTACTCACACAGCGTTGGATATGGATCGCCTAGTTCTAGGAGTTGTGGAGGGTACACGTGGCGGGAACGCTGGCAATGCTCCTGACGCCAACGGAAATGGCACAGATAGCGAGGGTGATGCGGCCAGGCCATCGGACACGGAGAATTGGGCGGCTAAGATAGGCGAGCGGACTCCCGTTCTGCTTGTGCGATGTGGCATGCTGGCTATCACCGTTGCCATGGTCAACTACACTGTCCTTTATTACTTTATTAGGATCCCCGCATGGCGCTCGGCCATGGGATTCTTCCGCTTTTTCTATAAAGATCTTCCAAAGTACAATTTCCCCGTCACAGGCGCACCTTGGAGCGTTTGGATGCTAGGACGAACCACATGGGCTTCATTCCTTTTGAGCCTTCTCTGGTACTTTGGCGAGATCGCCTTCCGGGTGCAGCTATCACGTGAACCGCTCAAGAGGGGACAACCATTATCGTCTGAGTCTAAAGATCCAAGCGGCAGTTTGTTAAACGGGCTTAAGAGCAAGAAGCCCAGGATATTTGTAAGTGTTCAACTATAATCATAATACTTATCTTGTTACAGCTACTAATAGGTATAGGCTTTTGCCATGTGGGAACTCGCCTTCATTGCACGAGACTACGCAGCAAGACGGCAAGCCATCTTTGAGGACATTGACCGAAAAGACGGGCCAATGTGGTCTCAAATCTATGCTGTATGCATGGAGACAGTCAGGGAGCTAGAGCGCAGGGTTGACGAGTGGGGAAAGGCACCGGCGCCTCCAGAGCCAGCTCCAGCACCGACCCAGCCACGCGAGCGGTTATCTCAACCCCTCCGAGCCAACGATGTTTTAGCCCCGCGACACGTCGCCAAAACTTCGTTGGTAACGAACACGGTTGCTCAGCTTGTGACATCACCAGGCAGGACACCAGCTCAAGATTGGGCGCCCGTGATAAAGAGGAAGGCTGGTCAAGTGGCGGACCAAGTCCTGACTCAGCAGCAAAGGGAGGCGGTTCGACCCGAGGCATTACAGGGCCATTTGGGGACCCTTTCACTCCGAATAATGGCTCTACCCATCGTTGGCCCCATCTTTCAACAAAGCTTTGGCCGCCGTTTGGCAAAGGCGGTGCTGGGATCCCCATATGCGGAGACCAGTGTGTACATCAACGCAGCATACGCGCTGTCACGGCTGGCAGTTCACAGCTTGGCCGAGGACAGATACGGTAACGTGCAAAGGGACGTACCGACGATTATCCGAACATTTACGACGGTTATCAGAAAACTAGAGACATTTCGAGACGGTTTCCCCACACATTGGACGGACCTTGCGCAGAACCGGCAGTGTCCTGAAGTGTCTGAAGTGTTGAACGCTCTTAAAGATGACCTCGCTGCTCTGGTGGAAGCCTTCGGGCCGTATAGTGGTGATCTCAGACTCAGCCGAGCTGACATGAGGTTGGCGCGGGAAGCGTCGGACAGGCCACAAGAAAAAAGACAACCTGAAATGCAGCAGGCGAGGTAGTGCCAAAATATTTGTATGCAGGCCTTCATGGCTCCAGATTTTGTGCAAGGATCGGTATACAAAAATCCTCCTACTCCAGATAGCGAATAGGAGTCATACTTGGAGAGTACGATGAAAAATAAAGAAATATGTTAATCAATAAAAACAACTCAAACAGTGTACCAACAACTTATATCGCGCACATTTTGTCCACTCTGCTACCTTTCTAGCTGACCTTTGAATTCAGTACATGGATGCATATCGTAGAAGAGTAATTAAAGCTTTGCAATAGACCACTTGCCATATATGAATCGCTAGAGTGGTTTATATTCATATATCAATCGTGAGATGCAGAACGGAAAAGGGGATACAAAGTAGGAGTGGAGATACTCCAGGCAAGTACCTGCGCTAGCGTAGCGGCACAATGCAAGCAGCTACCCCAGATGTGGACCCATAGAATATCGTGATGACCCAGACGTCACAGCAATTCTCTCCAGCTCCCTGGATTAGCTGCCTCTATGCCTATGCCCCAGAGCATCATCCGCTTCGCGCCACATAAGACGGCCCTGTCCCGACGTCCACTGTTGATCTCCCTTGGCCAAGTCGTCGGATGTCGCGCGACTCGACTTGGCCCGCCTCGATCACACTCGAATATGAACGAACGATAGAGCCCGCCTGCATCTCATCCAACTATCCCAGAGCACCATGTCAAGCACCAGGCTCGTCTCCCGAATCGCCTACAACTCCGTCTATGGCTTCCTCTGTCTCATCTTGACTCTCTTGCTTCTCATTGTCCCCGGCGACTTCGTCGAGCAAGCTTTGACCACGACCCATCAACTCATTAACCTTATCGTCATCGCCATCGTCTACGTTATCACCATTCTCATCGTCCTGTTTATCTACTTCTTGAGACTCTATGTTACCCGTACCGTGCTTGCGTCTATTCCAAAACCATTTGTCCCGATCGAGCCAGGCGATGTCAACAAAGAGGTTTACACCATGGTCGCGAAGAGCCAGAGCCAAAGTGCTGCTATTGCTTGGGAGTCTCGTCCCAGGGTCATCACACCTACTGGTCCGCTCGAGTCAGTAGCGGCAGTACCAGGGGCAGGAGATGGAAAAGCAACTGGGAATGCCGTAGGAGTCGAGGGCATAGATGATCTACACCACAAGGAAAGTCGTCGCTCGCTTCATTTATCGAGCTCGAAACCTTCAATAGCCGGGACGCATGGAACGTTGAGCGGCATTTTATTGTCGCCCCTGCGGCCAGTCTGGGGAGAAGTAGAACATTACGGCTGGGGTTCTCCCGCTTCGCCAGACTTACCCAATCTTCAATACGCCACAGTGATGGCAGAGTTACCGAACCTCATCGAAGCCAAAGCCGTCGCTCAGGCACCTACAGACCCAGACTCGGTGCCAAACGCGCCACGCTTGGACCCCGAAGCCGTCATACTGCTTCAACGGGCGCCAAACATGACCATGAGGAGCTATATCACGCACCTCACTTCGCTTGACGTCTTACACGGGTCCCAAGATATCGTCAACTTCCTCGATTTATATGAACGAGTGCGTTTCTGCGGGCATCCCATGTCAAACGCCACGTTCAGGAACCTAATGCATTTGTTCGCCGAGCTTCTTCGGGCCATACAGCCCTTGCATCCGAGGTTTTTGTACAGCAATAATAACGGTACCGACAATGACGACGACGGCAGCAGTCTCGCTTTTGACGGACACATTGATGATGATGCTCCAGAGGGATCCATTGCCACCACCCGCACGCCCTCTCCAAGTCTTAGGAGAGGTATGCACGGTTTCGACCGAAATTCGATTAGTCCGCACACACCCCGTCTTGGCGCGAGGAATTCGTCGGCTGCTACACGCGGTCAGTACCGCACGGCGCCCACGACACCGCGGAGTCGAGCGACAGGTACTTTTGCGTCACGTTCACCTAGTAGCGCGAGTAGTAGCGCCAGCAGTTTCACGCAGTCGCGTCGGCCGTATCCTGCCAGTCAGTCGTCGTCGAGCGGTAGTATCAGGTCCGGAGCCTCGGTCATCAGACTTGCTATGGCGTCGGACACGGGGGATTTACCTTATGTGCTGCGGCTTGTGGATACGTATTAGGGACTTGGATAGGGTTGATGGATTTGTGCTTCATATCGCATTGCTTGGCGCGGATACAGGGATTACAGAAAGGGAAAGGAACTTGATAGAAGGGCTTTTGCTGCATTGCGCTGGCGTTGATGGGATGGATGGGATATATATCCCGGATTCTAAATTAGTCTTTAATGTAATAGCTATTAGCTAGTGAAATGTGCATATATTGAACGAATTCTCTAGATCTTTAAGCTCCTGTTATTAATCCGGGCATTGTTCTCAGAAGCCGAAACTACATTTACTCAATATACTTGTCTAAGTGCCTTTTGGGTACTGTCACGAACAAGGTACGAGGTATACGGTGGAAATCTTCTCGTTGCGTGACGTCTAGAAGGTCAGGAGTCTAGGCATTCCGACCCCTTCTAGCTATATACTACCAATTTCTTTGTTCTTGCTCATAGAATCTATCATAACGCCTTCGGATTCTCGTCTCAAGATCTTTGATCTGCGTCTGGGAAAAAGAGTTAATGGTATCTCAGGCGTCCTGTAAGACAAGTACGTACCTCACTAAGGACTTGCGGCACCTTGACCGTCCACCGATTATTGAAAACCTGAAATCTTTCGTGTTAGGAATATATATGTATATATATATCTTTAGAAAAGGTAACATGTCTTACCGACTCGATGAAGAAGTCATTAGTCCCAAGGATCTCCCCGAGGTAGCGCTCAAGAATCTTGCGACTATTATATGGGATGAATAGGACCTGTGTATGGTAGTTCGATACAGAAGGACGGGCCTCTCTACCGGTACGTGGTTGGCTAGTACCGGAACCCGTAGCAGTTGAGCCAGGTGGGCCTATCCAACCCAAGTATTCAACATAGCCTTGTGCGCTCGGTAGCTGTGAGAGTTCGGCACCTCCCGGCGCCAGTATCGTCGGCTGCGCAGGAGGAGGGTACGCTGGCGAGCGAATGGGTTCGAGAAGGGTGTTCCTTGGAGCCGTCCTCACTTTCTTGAGAAAACGACGGACCTGCCGGTCGATATGAAGCCGATGAAAAGACTTGGGATACTTTATGTCAAAATCTCCTGACACACAAGAGTGCCCATCGGATCTCTCGTCTTCGGAGAAATTGGATGTCGTCCTGACGACATTTGGCCACAGAGATATAAATGATTCCGCTAGTTTCCCACTATCGCCAGAAGTCGTATCATCAAGAGAATCGGACGTCTTAATGTCATCAAGCCAGAGGGATATAGACGAATCGATTCCCGATGTTGGAGTGGAAAGGGACAATCTTTCCATGTCACCTTCTGTAAGCGGCAGGGTTCTTGTGGTTTGGTACTTCCTTTGATACTTCCTACTGGCGTATTCGTTTGCATCTTCGTCAATCGTGAAGTTTTCCTCACCATCGAAATCTTCGCGCGTGGATCTCGTACGGCCCCTTTGCTGTGCCTCATGACTTTCCTCTGACGGCTTACTACCCCGCTCTGTGTCCATATCGCCTTGATCCCGTGGTAGTGCAAGTAGAGCCAGGCGCTCCATATGAAATGCCAAGTGTCTCTGCATTTCAATCAAGGAACCAAGACCTGTTGGGCAAAATGGGCAATCTCTTTGAAGCTTCGTGGAAGGTCCTACTACAGAAGATAGCAACTCAGCAGAGAAATGCTCAGGCTTTGCTTCCACATGGTCTTGTTGCAGGTGTTCAACATACTCCGGCTGGGTTGGAAACTCCTTGGTGTGCTGTTGACAATGCCAGACTCGAGTATGTTGGGTTTCGTGGTCGATCCATTCCTGCCTTGAGCCATATAGACGATTCGGGTCTTGACATGCTTCATATGTGCAGTGATATGGCTGTAAGTCATGAATGAGGTGATTTCTAACACTAAAGTCAGACCATTCGCTATAATTGGGCGAGGCATCGTCGATGATGATGAGAGACCACTTGGAACTTACCGCCAAGAATCGGAACTCAGATAGCTGCCCGGACAAAGCAAAAAGCAATAAGGACACGAAAAGAATTTCCTCCCTTCGGCGAGATGGAGGGGGGGAGGAGGCCACGTGACTTTATCCCCAGTTGGGCCGACGACAGTCGACACGCGACTCTGACGTGAAATGACCGAGATGGCGTCATGGGGTTTGAGGAGGCCAGGAGATATATTAGTAGCAGATGTAGCCATGGACTGCCGCGGTACGGAGCTCGCAGGCTGAATTACAGACTCGTCATTATCCTTACCTGAGCCTGCAGCAAGCAGCGTGATACCCTTGTTCCTGTTCTTTTCTCTAATCGCTTGGTTCTCACGAGGTTCGAGCGTCGGATCCCCAAGACGTCGAGTATGCTCTCTCCAATACACAAATTGCAGCTTTCGGCGTGCATTAGCAACCCCGGCGCGACGGATTAGCCAATTTTCCTCCGAACAGTACTGAGATAGTTCATCTTGGGGCGTGTTCTGTTGCGAGTCTTCCAAGAGATCTAGCACTTGCTGGCGTTGCACGTAAGCCACCACCATGGTCTCCAAGTTCTCGCGCTCCTGGATGTAACCAGCCCGGTGCTGAGGCGGTACATGCTTACATATTTGATCTAATGATCTCTGAGGCCGGTTTTTCGGATTTCGGATCTTTGTAGCCAAGCTATAAAGCGAATCGATAGCCTCAGAAATCAGTTGGAGTCGATATTGAGCCTCACCGAATGAGTTCTCGCTGTCTGGCTGGGTATCTGAACTGCCTATGCTGCTCGGTTCACTGCCACTGTTATCTGAGCCTTCATTTCCATCTTCTTCTTCAGTTTCGTTATCCTCCCTCTTCGTAGACTTATTGTGACGTTGTTCCTCGAAGGGAGGGCGTTGTCCCAATAAAATCGAAGCCAACTCTTCGAGATTTTCGAGCAGCCCCTGCAACATAGACGACATTGGCTGCTTCATGACTAACACGTCCCGGACACGATAGTCCAGGGATGCATGACCCTGTTGGAACAACCCCAAGCTACGGGCCCATAGCTGAAACCTCTCTTTTTGATACTGCAGATATCGTACTGTTGAAGCGTCTGAGACATCGTCAACCTGGCTTGCCTTTCTGAAAGCTTCATATATCTTGACACCATTGACTTTCAGCTGCACTGGCTCCATCGTATACTACCATAACACTTCATTCGCAGTAGCTAGTAGCGCAACAGTACCTGAACTTGGTGAGGGGTGCTTATAAGCTTCGCATTATGAGCTGATGTAAGCCTCTTGAACCGGAGACTCAAGTAGACATCATATGTGCCCCCTGCAATCGGTGTCGTTCATCCAATACAATTAACGGAATCCACGTGCTGGGTGCGGGGTAGGTTGTAATATCTATGAGCGAAACGTCTTGCCCAGTAGCTTTTGCCTATGGTGTCACTGGCTGACGAGCTGACGAGTGTCAAGTATAATCTCTTCATTCCCAATTGAAGCGCCTTGGCAGCAATGTCGGGATTCGAGGTCGCTGGTGTGGTACTCGGTGCTATCCCCTTGGTGATTTCGGCCCTCGAGCATTACAAAGCTGGCAAGGGCGCGGCTGCAACTTTCTTCAAGTGGAGAGACCAGCTGGATACTCTCATTTACAGGCTTAAATTGCAAAGATGTCTACTTCATCTTCATCTCATGGAGCTTCTCCGGGATGCCGGAGTAGAAGGTGCAGTAGAAGACGATTTGACTGAAGAAGAAATCCTTCAGATCTTGAAGAATACTAAGAACGAAGATTCAGTTCGCGAATATCTTGGAGTTGTATATAGCATGTTCCTTGAAGTATTAAGACGATATGAATCGTGCCTGGCGATTCTTGCCGGGAAGCTTGCGCACATCCACCGCCCAGCAGATGTACGTATCACTCAACCCCTCCCAATACTACATATAATAATGTAGAGAAACTGCTAACTTTATCGGAGCAAGGCTGATGATTTGATGTCAATTTTGGCGGTAAATGACGTCAAGTTTCTTGCTTTCAAGAAACGAGTGAGGTTTACTATAGAGAAAACGGTACTCAAAGACCTCGTAGAAGAATTGAGAGAGGATCGCCTCTCTCTCCAAGCTATTATCAAAGCAATTCGCACACAGACAGAACGAACTCAGCGAGAACCATCATACGAAGCCAAGTCTTTAGAGAGATCGTTTGAAAAGGTGCGGGAGAATGTGACACCTTTATTTAATGCGATTTGCCGAGGATGCACTTGCAAATGCTCGAAACACTATGTCAGAATGAAATTACCGGGATGCAAGCCTGAACAGCCGTTCAAGAGGAGGAAGTCTGAGGTTGGGATGATATTCGACTTGATGTTGGATCAAGGGGGTCAGTTTCATCAGACAATAGTGACGGCTCGTCAAGAAAACATCGCAACAACCGAAATTAACCAGCAGAAGGAACAAGAAAGCAGGAACGTCAAGTTCCCCCCTTCTATTACAATCATCGACAATGAGAAGGAGGCTTGTTGTAATAAATTGCCAAGAAAGGTTGTTGCGGACCTTTGTAATGCATTATGTCAGGCCAAGACATCAAGTCGTGTTCTCCAACTCGAGCTCGTCAATCACAACTTGCTCTACGACCATATCGAGCCCGTACTAGGAACACATAAACAGAACCCACCTTCAGAATTTTTGGACCTTTTTCTTCGAAAAGGATATCAGAACTACGATATCCGAATGACACCGAAGCAGCAGACACTTCTAGCCCTTGATGTTGCTTCCTCTGTCCTCCAACTACGCCAGACTTGCTGGCTAGATGCAGATTTCCGCAGTACATCTATGCGCTTTCTTCTATACGAGAATGAGGGCCAAGGCACTCTTACTCCTGCGCTATTCATTGAGAGAATAGTTCACGTATCTAAAGTATTCGACGAGACGAATACGCCCCAGGCGCCGGAACCAAAAACCACTTTACTCGAACTGGCGATTATCCTGCTGGAGATATGGCACCACCAACCTCTGTATACCTGTATTAACGGCCTTGGTCTGGATGCTGCAGAGACACTCGAGACACGAAGAATCGCTGCCATACGGTGGCTGGAAAGGACATCGTCACGCCTACCACTACAGCACCTTGCTGCTATTGAGCAATGCCTCGCCGTTTGCTCCGGAAGACTTCGCTCCTGGTCTGATAGAGATTTTGTCCGGGAGTATTGCGAGAATATCATCAGGCCATTGCAAGAAAGTTGCAAGGCATGGTGATTTACCTGAATACCATCTTCACTGTGGGAGAACTGCAAGCATAGGGTACTGTATTTATACTTGTTGCTGCACGGGGGTTCCGAGGAAGCGTTCGTGCCTAGACTAGGACTATATAACGAGTCCTTTTGTCTGCAGCCCTAGAATTGCCATCATCGCCATTTCATAAGGGGTTGATCCAATACCTGTATCAGAGGATTATATAAAAACTTTACATAATACTACGATTCCTAGATTGCAGCAGCTTGATTAGCCGTGTAAAATAGACTCCGTACTCCTTCATTCTGTACTCTATCTCTAGCGCGCCCAGGCATGCTCACGAAGATTCCTGCAAAGACGATGCTCTAATCAAGCCCGTGATCGAGCGCAATGATACCGCGACACATTCCTCGTCTGCATCTCTTACAGCTTTGGAGCTGGTGGGTCGGTATTGACTTTATTATGTTCACAAATGGCCAGAACAGGGCCCTCGGTGCCATCCGTTGTCGCAGCCCTCATGACCCCGCGCAAGCTGCTAAGCCTCTGACCGGCATGCACGACCTCGCACTCGATATCAACGGTCGTACCAACGCGCACTGGGCGTAAGTACGTCACATTCAGGGTGCGGCTCACGCCACCATACTGCCAGAAGCCGGGCCGCGATATCATTTGCAGCGGGAAGGTGGTGCAAATGTCGAAGACTGTGGCTGTACAGCCGCCATGCATGTTGCCCAGGCTATTGTCGTGGACGGGCAGGACGTTAAGCCGGAACGTGGCGCGGGGATGTGGAGGTGACGCCGAGCTGGAAACGACGGAGAGATTTAGTATTATAGGCGTTGACCATTGCTTTGACTAGGTGTCAGCGTGTTTACTGCTGGGTGTTAGGATGAATGATTCTACATACGTGATCTTGAGTGGTCTTGTATGTGTCGGCAAATGCTTTCAGGCGCTCCTCTAAGTCTTTAGTGCTATTCTGGATGCTTGGAGTATTTGAAGGGCTTTTTGGTTTCAATGCCATGTTGAAACTGACTTTGGGGGTTTGGCCAAGTAGGTAGGTAAGATTGATAGAAATAAGTAACAGTGAATTCTCAGACGACAGGTTCTCAGACAAGTAGAATGTATACAGACAAAAGAGCACGAAGTTCCACGATTCAACACATATGAGAGGAATAGATCATATATATCAGAATATAAACGGCGGTTGAGCGAGTGAGTGAGATAGATGAGTGAACAAACTCAAGTGAGGTTGGCGTCTGGTTGTAGTCTTGAGACAACTCTTGGCAACCGAGGTTGAACAGCGTATATGCCGGTGCATACTTATGCAAGGTAAGCGATACAGCTTCAGCTCAAATCAGCTTGACCCAAGTCCGAGACCATGGGACAGGTACCTAATTGATTGACATTGGCTGCATCAGACATGCAAGTCAAATCAAAAGCACTGTTTCACTCCAAATCGAACGGACCGTGGACTTCCATTACTCCTATTTAGACTCCAGCCGGGCTGGCTGGCTGTAAGGTTGAATAGACCGATAGATAGATAGATAGATAGATATCTTACATACTTGCATATATCACTCTAGAAGATAGATACTCTTATAATACGTATAAGTGCATAGGGAGAATGATCTGGGGAATGCAGGTGCAGCCCTGGAGGTGCCCCTTGGGGGTGGCGATGCAGCCACAAATCGGGATCCAGGCTAGGTACCTCCTGGGTAAGGAGAATCTTGTACCTTGAATCGATTAGCTCGCAGGTCTCTGGCAGGTATGAGGCCTGTATAGCGCGACTTTTATCTCTTTAGGGGTGCAAGCTGGTGAAAAGGTACATGCCTCAGCATACGTAAGGAGGTACCTATCGTCCAACACCTGTAGGTACCCCTGCCTGCTGACCACGATAGCCCCCTTACAGGCCTTCCAGGACAGACAAGACCCCGATGCCTTCATCTGATGGATGAAAACCACCAAATGAGATTCCACGAGGTCACGACGCTTTAGGACGGGCTAAGGACGACAGGACACGAGACTACGCGAGACTACACGAGCTAGACTGAGACCAAGTGCGACGACATCTCCCACCACCACCACCACCACCATCCATCATACCTATTCTTCGCCGTCCCAGTCGAATCCTTGCCGACCCCTGCTCCTGTTTTGCTGCCTCTCTCGCTCTCTTAGACTCTTGGGAGCTTTTCGAGCTACGTTGCACATCACATCGAGTCGGCTCCCGTCGCGTCAACGCCACCAATCCGCGACCGTTGTAGACAATTTTTTCAGCCAGAATTCATTGATCCATGCATAATATTCGTCGCGACCGCCCAATTTTTTAATTTCTAGATCATTTAGCCTTATCCCTTAGGCCGCCTTCTCACTTTCTACCATATAATTTGCAACTACTTCGTCGCGTGTTCTATAAAATCCGAGTCTCGATTGCGTTATCGGCCGTCTCTTGATCCCCTTACTTTCGACCGTGGTTCCCGTAACACTCGTCCTCTCGCTCCATTCCATTCGCTTGAGTCGCAAACCTGCTGCCGTCTATCCAACATCTTGTTCGCTGTCTAGATAGCCTCTAGATGCGGAACGCTGCATCGTTGTTACCCCAGCTCTCTCCATCAAACCAGGCGCATGTCGACCGATACTGTGCAAATTCAACGGTGAACCGAGCGCGAAGCCCCAACATCGGTTAGACTCCCAAAATTGAAGTGCCGACCGAATGAGCTGGCAACAAGGGTCCCCGATGGGCGCCGGCGGTAATGGAGGAGGCGGCCCCGGCCCAGGCCCAGATATGCCTGGAGGTGGCTCGGCCTTGCATCACCAGCACGGCGTGCCACACGCCACCGAATACACCCTGCAGGGCGTCATGCGTTTCCTCCAGACGGAGTGGCATCGACACGAACGAGATAGGAACTCGTGGGAGATCGAGCGCCAGGAGATGAAAGGTAGGATTGCCGCCCTCGAAGGTGCTGCGAGGCGTGGTGATGCTACACAAAAGGCCTTAAGGAGATACGTCCAGATTCTCGAGAAGAAGATCAAAGATCAGACAACTCAGCTCGAAGCAGCCAGCCATGCCAGTACAGAGCCCGATCACGCTGTGAAACGCCCCCCCAAGCTCGACAGGGCCGCTCTCATACAGGAGAAGTTGAAGTGTACGTCACGCTCACTAAGTTGCCTTGGATACTGGTTAGTGGCTAATCTATGTACTTCATAGCGAATAACGACAAGCTGAAGAATGGCCTGCCTCGTCCTGAAGGACTGCTTGGGATACAGGGAGACGAGGAACGTGATCGCGATGACCTCAGGAACTTTTTGGATCAATGCCAAGCCGAGTTCTCGTACCTGATGATGACCCCTGCAAATCCTTTGCCGCCTCGAGAATCGCCTCCCCTGCCCGTAATGGAGGATCTAAGGGAAGGCGACTTTGGTCTCCCTCTTGGCCAACAACCTCTCGATGCTGCTTTCCAAGCGTTGAGACTAAACCAAAATCATGTTAAAGATCCCCCTTCCCGTCTACCTCCAAGTGCAAATCACGCTCCGCCCATGCCACCTGCAGGTGTGATGAATATGGCTCCCAAAGCAAACGAATTACAGTCTGCTCCTATGGTCCGCTCGGGGGAGAATTCGGGTATGGGATACTCACATCCAGGTGACTGGTCAGCTACTCCTAACCGTGCTCGCGACGGCCAACCCCCCAAAGCCAACCATGCCAACGACCTATCGCGGATGGAAAATTCTCAGGTTTCTATGGACAGACGAGCAGGTGAATCTGAAGGCTGGGACTTTAATGAAGCATCATTCCCAGATTCCACCTCATCGCAACCTCTCCAGCAATTCTCGCAACGACCTGATACTGATGTCTTCCCTGCTGCTGAAAATCTCCCGAAATCACCCAACCGCGCACCCAGCTCACACCGCAGAAAGAGTTCCTTGTCTCGTAGAAGAAGTACAGAGCAAGAGATAACCCTTAATGCCATGGCTCAAAAGATCGAAAGTACCAATTTCAAACTTCGGTACGGCCTGCGTGGGCACCTAAACGCTGTCCGCACTGTCATCTTCTCGGGTGGTGGAAGCCCTGGAGAGCCCGAGATTTGCACGGCCGGAGACGACGGTCTCGTCAAACGATTCCATCTCCCTCGCGAGAACCCTGCTCACCTCGGTGCCCAATCTTCTGATCTTGACGTTCCCGCTGACTTTACACATCGTGGGCACACGGGTGCTGTCTTGTGTCTGACCTCTTGGTCGCCATCACCTAACTTCTCTACCGGTGGTCGCGCTCAGGGTGATGGATGGATATTCTCGGGTGGACAGGACGCGACAATTAGGGTTTGGGAACGTGGAAGGGTTGATCCCAAAGCGACCCTGGATGGCCACAGCAATGCAGTCTGGGCGATTTGTGTGCTCCCTGCTACTCTGGGGTCTCTATTTGGACAGTCGAACCCTTACGGTACTCCGGAACGCATCTTGTTGGCATCTGGCGCAGCTGATGGCGTTATCAAAATCTGGGCAGTGAGCGCACCGCCTCAGTTGACATCGCCACAGCCGGGGCCTGCGGGGAGACGTGCGACCGGTAGCGGGCGTGTTAGAGGCAACTCGATGAGCTCCGGTTCGCAGTTTCCCAATTCCCCTCAGCCAAATATGGCCTCCAACTCTCCCTTCCATTCTACTCTAGTTCATGATATACGAAGATCCGATGGCTCCAAAGCTTCCCCAACTTGTATAACACCTCTGTCGGCAACTGGTGAATCTTTTGTCGTCAGCTTTTCAGATGCTGCTATTATCGTGTTTGATACGCGGACGGGCGAGGAAATCGGCTCCATGGCGAGCCTGGAAACATATGATAATACAGTAGCGACGAGTGTCAACGCTGTGGTCGCTACAACTGCTAGCCTCGAACAGGGCTCTAATAAGGGAATGGGCGAGGAAGACGCCGGTGGGCCTACCGGTAGCAGTGGTTCCTCGGGTAGTGGTGTCGAAGGCGTCATAATATCTGGGCACGAGGACCGGTTCATCAGGTTCTTCGATGCCAACAGCGGTACGTGCAGCGAACTCAAAAGCTCTGAACTTAGAAAATTACTAATCAGTCACACAGGTCAATGTACATATAATATGCTCGCGCATCCCGCCGCCATTTCAAGCCTTTCGCTCAGCCCCGACGGTCGAGAGCTCGTGTCTGCCGGCCACGACGCTAGTCTGAGGTTCTGGTCGCTCGAGAAGCGGACGTGCACCCAGGAGATAACGAGTCACCGGATCATGAGAGGCGAGGGCGTGTGTGCTGTCGTGTGGAGCCAGGATGGACGGTGGGTTGTCAGCGCCGGCGGTGATGGCCTTGTCAAGGTGTTTGCAAGATGAATGATGAAATGGGATTCATTGTGAAATATATTTGTCTGTTCCTCGACTCTAGTAAACACGGACAACAGTTACTACTCTCGCCTGTCATCTCTTGCCCTGCGTCTATCTATCTGTCTCTATCTAGCTGGCTATCTCATTGGCTCCTTGGGTTTTTGGTGAGGTTTATGAGATAGATTAAGTTAAGTGATAAGGAACTTAGAAAGAAAACGCCTTGGCTTGATGTATTGCCATCTATATCTTGTTGATCGTGCGGAGAGTACGGGAAGGTTAAGAATAGTGTGATGCGGCTAGTCATGTTCATGTAAGTACTATGTAATGAGATGGATTGGATTACATCGGATTATATACTTTTCACTCACTGCCCAACTATCTGCTGACCCCATTTTCAGGCTTCTGAGCGCTTACACTAACTATACGTATTCCCTCCAATACCACCATCAGTGAGCTGGTCCTTCTGACAACAGGGTATCTCAGCCAGGCGACGATGAGGGCCATAATTTCATGATATGCGACCCCAAACCACCCACGTCTCTCGCTTGCACAAGTTTAGTTCGGCGTAAGTTTCAAGAGCCGGCCGTTAGCACCATCTTCGATCACCCAGATGGCGCCGTCCTTGTCCTCTCGGATGCCGCGCATGCGTCTGCCCATCGAGATACGCTGGGCCTCCTTCGCCGTGTCACCGGTGATGGTCACGCGTACAAGCGCCTGCGAGGTGAGACCGGTGATGATGGCGTTGCCTTTCCAGCTGGAAAACAGGCTGCCCTTGTAGATGATCAGGCCGGCCGGGGAGATGACGGGGACCCAGAAGGCCTTGGGCGGTGCGAGATCAGGGCGCGTGCTGTGCGAGGGGATGGTCCGGCCGTCGTAATGGCGGCCCTCGGACACCACCGGCCAGCCGTAGTTGGCGCCCGACGCGATCAGGTTGAGCTCGTCGCCGCCCATGGGCCCCATCTCGACCTCCCAGAGACGCCCCTGGGCGTCCCAGTCGATGCCTAGCGGGTTGCGGTGGCCTAGCGACCAGATCTGCGCCTGGACGGCGCCTTGGCTGGCGAACGGGTTGCCTGCGAAGGCGGTGCCGTTGTCGTACAGCTTGATCATCTTGCCGAGGTTGCTGCTCATGGACTGCGCCGGGGTCATCTGGTTGATCTCGCCGGACGAGATCCACAACGCGCCGTCGGGCCCGAAGAGCAGACGACAGGCGAACTGGAGCCCGCCCGAGGCCTTCTGTGAGTGGCGCCAGATGACCTGGAGGCCGGATAGCGCGCCGCCGCCGTTGGCGTCCAGAGTCAGCGTGGCCCGGGCGACTGCCCCGCCTGCCCCGCCAGTGCCGGACTCGGCGTAGCTGAGATATATGATGCTGTTCTCGGCGTATTTGGGATGCAAGGCGACGTCGTGGAGACCGCCCTGGCCGCCGTAGGCGACAGTAGGCACACCGGTGATAGTGCCCTTGGACTTGGTGGCTGGGTCGACGAGACGCAGATTGCCCCGCCTCTCGGTGACGAGGATCCGGCTATCGGGTAGGAAGGCGATCGCCCATGGTTCGGCGTGGCTGGTGATGGCAGTCGACTTGAACGGCTGCTGGCGAGTGTCTAGCTGTTGGAATGGGACGGCCAAAGCACCGGCCACCAATGCCAGAGCGCAGGTGACAGAAAGTCCGAGATGCATCATTTTCGGGGCGGCCTTTACTTCCCAATATGTTGTATTCCTAGACGTTCGAGGGCTGAGTGGCTTACATTGTACATCACCTCTTAGGTTGTCTGGTCCCCTAAGGTAGGTAGGTAGATATATAAGGAATGAGTAGTCGAGCAACCTCTTGATCACCTTTAGGCTATTTCCGGCCTTTAATAACTTGATATATATATAACGTCAATCCAAGCCTTTGCACTTTTGCCTATTGCATCGCCGTTCCTATCCGGTCCAATAACATGGATCATTTGGGGAAGTGTTGCAATAATATAAAAAGGGCAGTGATCTGGGCTTATAACTTGATGCTGTTCACCATACAATGATCAGCCATAGCTCCATGAGTCCTTGGACGACCAATTCATTCCTGGCCTTCGTGGCTTGATTCGGCTCTATATACAACTGGTCTGCCAGCCCTGATCGCCTGGGTCTTGTCGTCTTGTTTCATTAAATGAAGTCTGTATAACCTCACTTTCCGATATTGCATGTATGTCTTTAAAGACGATGATTGATTGATTGATAGTGTTTAACGTCGTAGGGACTAATCTGCGTTGCAGTTAGTCCAGGCCTTCGTAAGGGTATTGGGACGTGGCAAGCTATCCACTACTATTTTATATATATAGTAGCTTTAAAGCCATTTTTTCACTTTTTAAGCGTATTAAATTATAATTACGTATCTACTCCTTTTAGGACTTCTATACCTTATATATTTAATTCGTTTCCTTTAAGCTTAAAACTTAGTTTAATATATTTAAGGGGTTTAATATTAGTTATAAAGGGTAATAATGGATATAACTTTATATTTAGGATAATAATTTAGCTAATTATTATTAAACATCTATAATTTATTATAGCTATTTATTATTAAGGCTTATAATTAAATTAAGCTATAATAGATATATAATAAATTAATAAGTAGGTAGGTATAATAATAATAAATAAGCTTATTATTAAAAATTAAAAAAGTATTATACTTTTAAGTATATTAATTTATATTATATTTATATTTATATATAAAAGGCCTTTAAGGGTTATATATATAAAAAATTTTTAAGAGCTTATATATATAAAAGGTATAAAGGGATAAATATCTTTTAATATAGTTATATTTACTTTCCTATTTATATTATTTTTATATTTTTATTTTTATTTTATATATATTTTTCCATTTTAAGCCTTTAAGCTTTTATATATAAGGAATAAAAAAAAGGAAGAGATTAAAAACCTATAAAGTATAATATATAATATATAATATATAATTTAAAATATAAATAAAAAGGTATATTATATAATAAATATAAAGGGCCTTTTATAAAGTAATACTTCTTTTACCTATAAATAATAACCTTTATTAATTAATAAGGATTAATAGCTATACTATAATATAAAAATTCTGGTAAATTAATTATAATCTTAGGAATTATTTATAAGTATTTAAAGGGTTTACTATAAGCTCTTTAAGGGTAATAGGTTATAAGGGCAATATATTATATATAGCTATTCCTTTATTTATTTTTTATAAGGCGGAAGTAAAGGAGTTATTATTAATAAAAACTAATTGCTTTACCTAATTTAGGAACTTTAACTACTATAAGGCCCTTAAGGAGCTTTATTTAAAATTAGTTCCGGTAATTAAATATATAATTAATAATAATAAACTATATTTTTTATTTTAAGCTATAGTACTTTTTAGGGTAGCTATTTTTATTTTATAATATAAAATAGTTAATTTTTAATAATATTATTAAGTTAATCCTAATAATAGTTTTAAAGGTTAATAATTCTTTTTTTTTATATAATAATTTTAAGGATATTTAAATTAGTTAAAGGGGAGTTTTATTAATTTAAAAAGTTTATATTTTAAGGTAGGTTTTATTAAAGTTCTTTTAATTTTTATTATTACTTTACTTTAAGCTAATGTTTAATAATAAATAAATATAAAGCTGGTTTTTAATTTTATAAGTCTTTTAAAAATATTAAATTAATTATTAATGTTATTAATTATATAATATTTAAATCTTTATTTTTATTTTTTTTATTATTTATTAGGTTAATAATTTTAACCTATTTTTTATAATAAACCCTTTAGGTTATAAAGGGTATATAAACCTTTATAAAATAGCTTATAATTTAATAAAACTATTAAAAGTTTAATAGGTTTTATAAAAGTTAAATTAAATAGGCCTTATAGTTATTTAAGTTAAATAATTTTAACTTATAAAATTTTATTGGTTAATTGTCCTTTTTTTATTTATTACTGTTCTTTTTAGGTTTTAATTTAAGCAGTTTTAGCTATTATACCTTTTTTCTTTATAACCTTTTATAATGTATTAAATATAACCTTGTTTTTATATTATAGTTCTATTAGTTTTTAGTTTTTATATAGGGGTAGTATATCTTTACCCTTTTATATTTAAATTTCCTATAGTATTAGTTGAAGTTTCCATGCTTTAAAAGGTAGGCGAGGTATTTGTTTAAGATTTTTTATAATAGCTTTAGTACTTTAAGGTAATAGTTAAAAATATACTTAATGCTTATTAACCAGTATCCGACTGGTTATATTATATTTATATCTTTATTTGCTTTATTTTTAATTAATAGGTTATTTTTCTATTAGGCCTATATATCCTTCCGGATTTGCTTTTTTGCTATTACTTTAATTCCTATAGCTATAAAGCTATTAAATTTTAGGTTAAATGGCCCATCTTTAGCTACCTTTTTTTATAAATATATTAACTTACTTATTTCCCTTTATTTTTATATAGCTTAAATATTACTTTAGCTTTATATTATAAGTTTTTATTATATTATATAATTAAATAAATATACTTTAAAAGGTAATTAAAGCATTTTTTTTAATATTATAAATTGTTAATATATTATTAATATATAATATAATTTTAAAGGTAAGGAAAAGCTTAATTGCTTTTTATATACCTTTAAATGCTTTTACTTCCTTTATATTATAGACTTTATTTAATAAATATATACCCTTTAAGCCTTTTATTACCTTTTTTTATCCTTTATAGATTATAAACCTAAAATTTAACCCTATTATATTTTTTAAGCTGTTTAAAAAGATTATTATATTAAAGATAAAATGGTCCTTAAACTATTCCTTAAATTCCTTAAATACCTTTTCTTTATTTATTTTATCCATTAAATCCTTTTTTAATCCTTTAAGGTATTTTAAGGGGTAAAGTATTAGCTATTTAACCATTAGGAAGAGTTTTTTAATTAATTAAATATTAAAGTATAGCTTTTATATTTAATTTACCTTTTTCTCCTAATTAATAATTTTTAATTCCGCTTTAATAGTTAAAAGGTAGCCTTTTATAATTATATTAACTTTATAAAAAAAGTAAAGTTTTACTTTATTTAAGGTTAATTAAACTATTAAAAGGTTATTATTTATAAAAAGGGTTATATTTAGCTATATTTTTTAAAATAATAATACTTTATATATTACTTTAATTAAAGCTTTTTAGATTAATTTTATATATTCTTTTAATTTTATATTTATTTTTATTAACCTTTTTAAGCCCTTATAGGTTACCGGTTTTATTTTCCCTTTATATTATACTTTATAGCTATATAGGAATAAGGGTAAAACTATTATTTTAATTACCTTTTATAATACTATTATTAGGGGGCCCTATTTAATTATTATTAAAGCTTTAATATAGTTTAAGATCTATATTATAATTATTGCCCGCTTTTTAATATATTATTTAAATATAAGTTATTTATTAAACTATACTTTTAATTATTATAATATTAGTTAAGATTTTTAAAGGATTTATTTAATTAAAGAATTAATGTTTTTTTTATTAAATAATAATATAGGTATAATTATACCTATTAAGGTTTATATTTTTAAATTTTTATTTCCCCTTTTTTTATTAAAGTAAATTGCTTTTATTTTTTTTAAGGTAAACGAAATCCTATTATTAATATTATATTTTAAAATTTTCTTTACCTTTTTCTTTATTAATTTTATAATTTCCTTTAAAGTATTATTTATTTTTAATATAGCTAGGTTATTTATATACCCTTAATAATTAAGGTTAATAGTAATTAGTTTTATTATATATAATATATAGAAGATTAAGAACTAAGGTAACCTTTAAAGCGTTTTACATTTTTATTTTTAAGCTTTTATTATATTTTCCTTTAACCTAGTCCTAATATTTTTAATAGTTAAGAAATTATTAATTAGCTTTATAATTAATATTAACTAACTTTATATTATTATTTGGGCTAATAGCCTTTTATATAATAATATATTAAATACCCTTTATATATTTAAGGTAATTAATGTAGCCTTTTTTTCTATAATTAGCGCTATTTTTACTTTATAAGTAAGGCTTACTATTAGGTCTATAGTTAATTTTATAAATAATGCCCTAATATATTACAGGTTAAAAATACCCTTTTATAGCCTGGTTTATATTATTTTTTTTATAATTAGTTTTTTATATCTTTTATTAATATATAATAAAAGTATTATTGGTTTAAATAATTTAAAGGATAAGAAGTTAGTTTTTTCTATTTTAAGGATTATAGTTATTTAGGCTACTTTTTAAACTATAGGGAAATACTTTATTTTTAAAATCCTTTCCCTTAATTTATAATAGTATTCTTTTATATAATTTTAATAAGCTTTAGCTATTTATATTATAATATTGTTTTTCTTTAATAAAGTAAAGGTAATTTTATATATAAACCTATATATTTCCTTTATAATAATTTAGGTATATTAGGGTAGCTTTATAAGTACTTTGGGAAATTTTCCTATTAAATTATTAAATATATTAAACCTTTATAAAATACTTTTATATAATAGTTATACCTTTTTCTTCCTTCCTTTTATTATTTATTTTATATTTAAGTCTTTAATTAATAGGATTTAAAGTTATACCTTTAATTTATATTAATTAATAAGGGTATAAAGGTTATAATTTAATTTTACTTTATTAATTTTTATTTTTTAATAGTTCCTTTTAGCTTTTTATATTATAAAGAGGAAGGTCCTCCTTTTTTTTAAAATTAAGTTTTTTTCCTATTTTCCTATTAGTGCCTTTTTTTATAATTCCTTTTAAGTTTAATAGTTATATATATACTCCTTTATTTATTAAGGTATAGATTTACCTTAGCGTTTTTAAGTATTATTTATAACTTTAATCCTATTTATTAAAAGTATAATAAATACTTTTATTGCTTTATTTAATGTTTTTTTTTTATTTAGCTTATTTAATAATAGTAGAGTAGGAATTACTATCCTTACTATTTTTATTAATTTTTTAAAAAATTCTTCTTTTATTTATTAATATTATTATTTTAATATAGGTATATAACCTTTATTTAGGTAAATTATTTATATAGGGTAGTAATTTAATCCTATAATGCAGTTTTTATTTAAATATACCTTTAAAAAGGGTATATTAGAAAAGGGTAGGTTAATAATATACCTATCTTTATAGGTAGGTTTTTTTAGCTTACTTATATAGTTTATTTTTATTTAG